AGAAATCCGTACCATTTACAACCTGTGCAAAATTTACTTCCGGGAGATGTAGAGACACCTGAATTTTTGTTAGTGGTTGTTTTAAAGTCACAACATAATCCAGAATTCTTACTAGAAATACTTTGGACCTATGAGGCTACGTTCACAAGGCGAGGGGTAGTGAATTTTCACAATATTTGGTCACAAGAAAATCGTCATGAAATTCGGACAAGATCTTTTCAACACGAATTTTCTGTGAAAGTGTGGCTTGGAATAATTCGGACCTTTCTTCTTGTCACCCCATCTAAATTCCCAGTCATTTCTAAACTTTCTAGAAAACCATCTATTTGAATTATTAGAGGATGTTCCATTAAATATACCATAAAATAACTAGATACAAATGGATGGTACTCCTGCCCATTTTAGGAGAATAATACAAGAATGGCTTAAAAATTATATGAGGCGATAGATAGGTTGAAGACCAAATGCCAATGTCAACCATAATGGTGCAGAGAATCCTCTGGACTTCTATGTTTAGGGTTAGGTACTTTTTTGAGTTTTATTTTACTACAAATAATGGCTGTTTCTTTAGAGATCTTTCATAGATTCAGTTGCATCAAACATACGGGATGCAATGAAATCAGTTGTAGTTCATTAATATTTTTTTACATTACTGTCTTTGTTCATTTAGCGGATGAACATAGTAACAACAAGTAACATTTTCTCTTCTTCGTCTAACTCAGTGGTTCCCAACCGCGGTGGTTCGAGAACCACAGGTGGTCCGTGGCCATCTTCCAGGTGGTCCGCGAGGCTGAATACAGCGAATTAATAGCCCTTTTCTTTTATTCATGATTTCGGAATCATAACGCGTTACGATCTGAAATCTAGCAACCTGATTGGTTTCCAAAGGGCTATTATCATATAAGCTGGAGCGTCGAAAATAAATAACGTGTAATTTTACAAAGCATACCTTCACACATATAATCACAAATACAGTTATAAGACGACGAAAGTCCCAAAAGTTCAAATATGGTCCCTGAAGAGCCAAGTTTTGCTTTAATATCGTCTGCCATTCTGAAAAGTTGGGAACCACTGATCTAATCAATTAATTTCAAATATTAATTTTTTCATCATATTAATCCGGTTAAATATATGTACATTTAAAACATACGTATGTATATCACGTCAGAATGATGTGATCAGCATAATATGTTGTACCTCAACATGACATGTTAACACATGTCGACATGACACGTGTTAATAATGCGTCTAAGCTATACTTCTTTCATTATACCTTTGTGAATTTATCTATTGCTTTTATTTGTTCTTTCCTCTAACAATAAAAAAATATATAATTTTCTTGCTTTACCTAAGACCCACGTTTCGTAGTAGCAGTTGATAACCATCGCCGGCGACATGGTAACCATCATGAGAAAGTCCGAGAAGGCCAGATTCACCACCAGCAGATTGGAGGGTGTTCTCAGGGCCTTCGTGCCGCTGAATATGTACATGACCATGCCGTTGCCCATAATGGAAACAAAGCCCAAAACGCCTATCGTGAAGCCCAGGATGCCGTGCCATAGTGGGTTCATGGGAGGAAACTGGTACCAGTACGCGTCCACCATATGCAGCATGTCGGGTGGCACCTTGTCCACGACGGTCATGTTGCCGCCGAAGCCGGCCGCCCTTTGAGCCGCCCACATGGCGTAGCTAGGTCCGCTGCCCATAACAGACATGTTGGCGAGTACTGCGGAACGGAAAGGAACGGTGTTAGTTCTATGTGCATATTTTTTGAGTATAAGTGTATTTAATTTAACATTTTTTATTACAAAACAAATTCGTCAACATCAAATAACAACAACATCAAATAAACAACATCAAATAATCAACAATAATCAATAAACAATCAATCACATAAATAACATAAAATAAACATCAAATAACAATAAAGTCAGTAACCATGCTTTACAAAAACGTTATTTGAGACTTATGAAAACAAGAAATGGTAGATATAATGGTATTCAGTTTTCTAACCAACGCATTGTTTAAAACAATTAAATATTTAAATTTCGAAAACTTTGAATGCAGGATGAAGGAGTTTCTCTTGTAGACTATATATAGCTCATAAGGATTCTTGTTCGCAATTTGTCCATGATATCGACTTAATGAACAATTTATTGCCGTTTTTTTAATTTTAATTCTATTGCAACCATGCATTTTTTGTTTGCTTTATGATAAGTATTGTATAGTTTTTATATTTAATAGTTTTCTCAATGTTTTACCATTGCTTACTTTGTGCACTGTTCTATTTTATTTCGCTTGTGTGAATACTTTGTATATTTAGGCACCAATAAAGAAAACTGAAACTAAAATTTATTCTTTGAATGAAAATAGTGCAACTGTCAGGTGTTTTTTTCAATTTTTTTTAACACTTGTAAAATTTTGATACAGATTCTTTTAATTTTCCAATTTTTCTAAAGCGACCACGCTTTACAAAAATGCCTTTGGATGATACTGATTTGGTCTATGTCTAATAGCCAAGTCAGTCTTGTAATTCGAATGTAAAATATTGATTTATCTGTCCTTAGCAAAATATGTAGTTTTAGTTTGGCTACTGTGAAAACAAATTGCATGTGTAAGGTTAGGTATAACGACAAATTTTTCATCATATTCAGTCCTATTTTATTAAAGGAGTCCAAATATTTGTTCGTGGAGGTGGTGGACATTTCACATGTAATTTTTAATATCGATTTCTTGTGTTTGTGTTGTTTTCTGAGTTTTAATATTTGAACGTGGCTAACTAACTCAATTTTAACATAATTTGTGTTCTAAAATTAGATTAATAGAACGTTTAACTAAAATCGTTGCCAATGTCAATATTTGAAATACCAAAATTTTTTCAAGAATGCCAAACCATAGACATGGTTATAGATATAGACATAGCGTAATTATTATATGTAAAACTTCCTGTCACAATCTGGAGATATTTATTGTCTTGTGAACCTACCCCTACATTTAAATTTTACAAAAATAGAAATTAAAGAAAAGAATTAAGAAAACAAGCACTTGGTCCGAAAATTCGCGTAAAAAACATATTTTTCAACGTACATAAGAAAAAGTTGAGAGGCCAACGGCGTTATAATTCAAAAACAAAAGTTTGTGCAAATTATCTTAATATAATAAAAAGAAACAATTATTAATATATTTTTTGTTGCATAAACGAGGTAGGTACATTTATTAATTTTTGGAGAATATGGTGAATGCGCCAATGTTGCAAACAAGGAATCGACAAAATTTGCAAAATATAGTTGTAAAAAGTATTTCACAAAATCTACATAAAGTAGCTGGTTAGTGATTGTTCTTTAATGTAATGTAATGGTTTTCGTAACGCCTTTTAATACCGATTGCCTATTAAGTAGGCATTTCAATAATATTTAAAGTGATTTATTTTTGTTTGTTTCTTACAGCAGAAACACTAAATACCTACTTGATTCAAAACTTTTCCAAATGAGCTTTACGTGTGTGTACCTAATAGGCGTTTTACATAAATTAATTGTGGAAAATAAAGTAATGGTATTTTAATGTCTATTAGAGAGAAGTATTTTTTAAACATAACTTATAATTTCCTGTTAATTTTAAATTTTCTTCACTTCTGTTAGATACAAATTCCATCAGATCTTATTTGCAGAAAACCTAAAATGTAATATTGAAATAGCATACCTACTTAAGTATAAGGACATTAACAATAAATGTCTAGGTATGTACAGCTATGAACTAAAATAAGTTTATACAATCTAAAGTGCTTATAATTCTTTTCTAAAACAGCGTTTTATCAAGACGTTTTATATCGAAATTTTTTTTCGACCATGGCAATATCTGTTTCGTCAATGATATTGTAGATGTTGGCTGTGGTATTGACCGGTCAAAGTCGTTCAGTGGACAAATATTTCCTTAGTCAGCCCAATCAGCTGATTGGGAATATTGGACAGGTTTTAATACAGTTACTAATATCCATATTAGTTATAGTAAGTAAGTTCAGCGAATTGTTTGACTAAAAAAATTTGACCGAACTAACTGACAACAAAAAAAGTGTTAATTTCTTGAAAACATTAGATACCCACTTTAACCAATGCGTTGTATATTACTCACCCAAATCACAGTTTTGTAAAATAGCACGGTATTTAAAATTTAGAGTAATTTCACATTAAAATGCGTCTGAAGGCGCGCTCAGGCTACGACTCGACATTGTCTAACTACTTCTCCACTTTTATAGATTACACAGAGAAATAATTCTTACGTATTTAATTTAATAAAGAAAATCTCCTTGGGTATATTTTCTTGACTGGGTAAGGATTCTCTTGATACCTAATCGAATTATGTTCTTTCATAATATATTTGTACTTTCCTTCAAGGTTCTAGGATATATTGGATTATTTGACAGATAAGGAATAGAAATTAAAAAATTATACAGGGGTATTACAATTACGTAGGACTTCTATATTCAGATTTGATATGAATGTGAGAAAATTTTGAATTTATAATTATCAAGAAGCAATGATTTGACATCACATTTTTTAACTAATGATATTGCGGTAAATAACTACTCTGAGAGCTATATGCCCCATCTACCATTTAATTGCACCCACATTATCTAGTAGGTACCTAAGGATTAATAGGTTGCTATTTACCAGGAGATACAATGTGATGCTTAGTGCCAGTAGGTAGATACGACAAATACTTTTTGTCGATAAATACAAATACTTAGGTTATATCTCATTTCTACTCAAAACTGATATCACGCATATAATTCTGCTATATAGGTACTTGAACAAACAACACTTTTGTCACTTTCTGATTTTTTGTAAAACTCTGCCACTAATCAAATGTAGGTCCATAAATTTTTATACGTTATGTTGTAGTTGTAATCTTTAAACTATGTCCTTACCAGATGCGAGAAAACATACAAGCTCTTCTATTAAACAAAAATGTAGGTATTTCGTTACACTTCCATGTTCTGTAGTTGCATTCAATTAATTTTGCGTTCTTAATGAACAATGTAAAAAAGATCCAATCAACTTTAATTCTTACACTTCCTTCTTATCCCGTATAAAAATACAAGAAATAATTTTTAACAATCACCAAATACCTATGTAAATACAAAAACTCTTAAATATGAACTAATTTTTGCTTGTGATCACTATCATTTTCAATGCTTATAGGTTTGTATCATTATGAAGTTAAACAAATATTTTAAGAAGTCGATTTCGGATTAGTTTAAAATTAATTAAATATTTTGTAATTTTTTCATACATTTTTGAAACCTTAATATATTATAAATGTTATATTAATTTTAAATTCCACAGCTACAAGGATTTTTCGTCACTTATTCTGTGTTTATATGTTTATTTACTACTATTTATATATAAATAATTTAACATTACAAGACAAAATGATTCGCAAATGGTCCAAAATTTAAAAGTTATAAGCGGGAAATAAATTAAACACATTTCCGTTACCCACAATGCTTTGAAACCAATAGACATGCGCTTGTGCTTACAATATAAAGTGGTGGAAGGAAATGTCCTCCCTCCAAATAAACGACGCGTTGACGCGACGTTCCGTTCCCCTCATTTCTTCCATTTTGAATTGATTCTGTTTTGCGCTAGGTTGTGTGCGACGTGCGTATCTGTGCTCTAGTGTTAATATAATATAAATAAACAGTATATTTTAAGTGTAAAAAAACAGTAGGTAGGATATTATTTTACAATTTATTTAAATTATTTTATCTTGATGTAACGTTATACCATTTCTTTTATTTGCGGCGTACCTACTAGTTATAAAACGCCGCCATTACTTCAGCCGGTTTGAGGACGCCGGTTTTTGTGAATAGAACTTGTATGCTAATACTTCTCTTTAAATAAGGAATAATTAAATAATTCTCTGATCATATATATATTCGCTCTTTTGCTATTGTAGTTTTTTTCCTCATAACTAGCTGTAAAAAATGGCCGATACACCAGCAGAATCTGCTGCTCCTTCAGCAGCTCCAAGTGGAGGTACCCCATCAACGACGCCACAACGTGGTGGTGGCAGTGGCGGCGGTGGCATTGGTGGTGGTGGTCCTCGAGGAGGCCTTCGGGGCAGAGGAGGTCCTGGAGGCGGTCGTGGCGGACCAAGAGGACGCGGAGGCTTTAGAGGTGGTCGGTAAGTTAGAAAAAAAGGGCTATTGTGATTTCTATTATCGTTAAAGTGGCTTTTCGGCCTATAGTGGTGGTCCCGGCGGGCCAGGGCGTGGAGGCCCTATGATGCGCGGCCGCGGAGGACCAAGGGGTGCGCCTAGAGGCCGATTCCCACCAGGTGGTCCAGGTAAGCGATCATTTTTCAAAGACATTGTCTAAATTTATTGCCAATAACTTATTAACATTTATTTCAAACGTACTTATTTGCCATTTCATCTTAGTTTCTTAAAAAACAGTTTTTATTGTATTTATATTTATTTACATTGTGAATTATCCGCATGAAAGTTTTTTTTTTTTGGGTTAGAGTATTTTGACGAAATTTACGATGGTGTCTCAGGCGGACCAGATGGAGATGGATCGGGGCCACGAGGACCCCCAGGAGGTCGCGGTATGGGTAGAGGTGGCCCTGGTGGTTTTCGGGGACGTGGAGGCCCTGGTGGCTTCAAAGGGCCTGGTGGTGATAGAGGGGGAATGGGTGGTGGCCGAGGAAGAGGTGCACCAAGGGGTGGTAGGCCATTTGGAGGACCTAGAGGCGGAGGTCGTGGGGGACCAATGGGACAGAAGCGCCCATCTGGACAGTTTGGTGGTGGACAAGGAGGTCAAAGTGGCCCAGGAGGTCCAAAGAGGCCGAGATTTGATAATGGCGGACAATCTCAGAATGGTTATAACCAAGGGTGGGTCCTCAAAATGTTTTGTTGATTTAATATGTTGATTTTGAACAAGGTGTATATCGATTTGGGAAACTTGAAACGATCAGGGAATTTCATAGACCTAGGGCTCGCTTTTTGCAAGTACTTTTCAATCTTCACTTTTCACATAAATGTGAGGATAAGTTCTGTTTTATAAAAAATACCCTTTACATTAATGGTATGTGCTTTATGAAGCTTTAATTTAACCAGTTTTCACTCTGGATCCTCAATGTATGTATAAACTGAAAGTTTGGAACATTAATTTTGAAAACTGCATAGAAGTGTGAAAAGTTAAAGAAAACTTCCAATTTCGTGAGTCGGTTTTTTGAAAATTAGTACCTTGCGTAATTATCTTGTTTACTTTTCAACTCGTGAATGATTCTCTCTTAAATAAGCATATACAGGGTGTAACAAAATACTTGATCAAATTTTAACGAGGGATGCTACGTTACAGGTCAATAAAGAGAGATATTTATTGAGATGGAATTCTAAGAAAATTATCAGAACTACTGTAACAATGGGCTTGTCTCAAAATTTTCTTCCAATGTCATGATATCTTTGGTGTCGAATGTGGATGGCAGGGGCATACCTTGAAATTTTTTGCCAGTGTCTTTCTATCTCGGGTGTCGAATGCGGTTAATTCCAAGAAAGTGACGCAGGGGTTTGCTTGGAATTCTATGTCAACAAATCGTATCATATGGACTGTAACTCTACTAACATTTTCATTTCTGTTTTTATTATGTCTCAAGTGGCATGAATCATACTAAGACAAAAATGGGTAATTTTGCACTATTTTTCATATCGCATTTTGGTAATTATTTACTTTAGTGGCACTCTCCAATTTTCGCAAAATTTTGTCTACCTCCCTATTTTCGATGGTGCTGAACACGAATCTGAAGTTTTTTTTGTGCAGTCGAACCCAGTTTTTGAGAAAAACATTTTTCAAAATTCTAACCTGAATATTTCGGATAACACTGTAGAACTCTGTATATTTTATGTAGCTTTCAGAACATCTGTAATAAACAATCAACATTGTTTAAGAAACACATTTTCCCAAATTTGAACTAAAAGAAATATGTATTTAATAAATAAAATTATAGTAACTTTATGTGGGATGAACAGAGATGAATGAGAGTGGGGGAACTCAATGTTGTCATCACGAATTACAAATGGCGGATTCAAACTACAAAATTTAGATTTATTAAATACATATTTTTTTACTTGAAATTTACGAAAATGTGTTTCGTGAACAGTGTTAATTGTTCATAACATATGTTCTGAAAGCTACATAAAATATACAGAGTTCTACATAGTGTTATCTGAAATATCCAGGTTAGAATTTTCAAAAAAAAATTTCTTGAAAACTGGGTTCGACCACACAAAAAAAACTTCAGATTCGTGTTCAGCGCCATCGAAAATAGGGGGGTATACAAAATTTTGTGGAAATTGGAGAGGGTGCCACTAAAGTAAATAATTACCCGCATTTTTTCATTTAAGACTACAAAATTCATGACATTTTTTTGTATTAAAAAAAACTAAATTTAAAAATTCTGTCCTTAAAATGTCACATCAAAATCAGAGTAAAATTTTACACAAGTTCCTGGAAAAAAATTGTGTAAATTTTAATTTTTTTTATATTTAATGCATCTTGAATAATTAAAATAAATATTTTTAAAAATTTCAACTTGGACAATTATCTCGAAAACTATATTTCACATGATTTTCGGAACATATTTTTTTAATTTTAATTGATTAAAATGAAGCCATTTTCTTTTAAACAATAAATTCCGCAATGTACTTAGATTGCTCCTACGAGTATTTAGAATTGTGACGAGTAAAAATTAAATATTTTTTAAATAAAAATGTTTGCTATTTGGTGGAAACTGGTATTTTGCAATACTAACGGCTTTTTCTGTGAACCACGCATCCTTTTCCGATATTGGTACTTTCGAATCGGCTTTTCCTCATTTTCCTAGTTAACGCCCATCATCAAAAATCTCAAAACCAAATGTCAGACAACTGTCCTTGGCCATTAGGCACCTGCTCTGATCTTTCAAAGATGATATTACAGTGATAAAACTTAATTGTGACATAAACTTTCAATAGCCCGTAGAGGCTCTACACACTGATAGGCCACTGTAGCTCAGTTTGTAAGCTCGCTACGGCAAAACTGATTATCTGCAATTCGAATTGTGGGCAGGTCAGACTATTTGTTGGAAAATATTTTCAAACTTTTCATATAAGGTGTTTAAAAAAACGGGTACACGGTGTTTCAAAAAATGTTTTGTTTATTGGCTGGCACACTGCACAATCACAAGGGAAAGGTTAAACTAGTGATTGTGACACCTTTGTTTTAAAAAAAATTTGAAAAATGGGTACTAATATCGAACATTTTCCTAAAAAATGTTTTGACCAAATTTCGATATACACCCTGTTTAAAATTTAACTTTGGATGATTTATAATAAAAAATATATATATTTATGTGTAGGGGTGCTGGCGGTTATGGTCAGCAATCTTCATACTCGACACAATATGGTCAAGGTGACCAGTCCTACGGACAAGGCCAAGGGTATAGTCAGGGCGGTTATGGAAGCGGTGGAACTGGTGGATATGGTAGTTCCAACTACTCCACTACTTACCCGAATACTGGGGCGGGAGGTTACGGAAGCACAGACTATTCAACGGGTTATGGCACATCTCAGGGAGCTGACGGTTATGGGGCGCAAGGTTACAGCAGCGGAGCTGCGGGTTATAATAGTCAACAAGGCGGCGGATACGATGATAGAAGTGGTGGATATGCATCAGCTGGTGGATATGGTAAGTCCAAAGTCTTATATAACTTTTATTTTTATGGCTGTTTTATTCATAACAGGTTTCCCATAATAATAAATGAAAACAAGAAAAATATTGAGAACAGTGATGTAAAATATGAATTGATTTTTTATGTATGTAAAAAATGAATATATGTGGGAAACTTGTATTTTGTCCTAGTGCTTATTGCTGTCATTTTTATTTTTATATATAACAGCACTACAAATTCAAAAAATCCATACAATATATTGATGTCTTTCTGGCATCCTATTTAATTTAAAGTAAGGAATATGAGATCAAATACACCTATATAATTTTTAAAGAAAGTTAAACATAATTTTGCAAATCACAAACAATTAGCTCATATATTAGTACATAATTTCATATGTTTAAGATGAATAGGTACGCAATTTGTTAGTATAATGAAGGTGCAGTATTTTAATACACTATTTTCTGGTCAATGTTTATGGTAAAAAGTAATGATAGTATTTTATGAATGAGAAACAATTTTTGAAGCACATTTATCGAATTAAAATCATGTAGTACCTTGAGTAGTGCAGACTTTTTGTTGTTTATGATTTTATTGATATTAAGTGACTCAACCTGGTTAAATATAAAACCGTGAGTTCCACTTAAAAAAAAATAATGTGAGATTAATCGAGAGTTGCATCTCCACTATTTTCAGGTTCAACAAACCAGGCTAGACGATTCTAAAAATTGCCCCAAAAACAAGGCTTTATTTATAGTATTTTAAAACAATTATGTAATTTGTTTTAAGTTTAGTGTAAATGGATGACTATATAAATATTTTTTTTATTCAACTGTAGTTGTTAGGTGTAAGTTTTTTTTTTATCGATTTTGATAGATGATAATTTGTCAGTCAGCAATTTGATGTTGCGTTACCTATATTTATAAAAAAAAATTGTGAGTAGGATCTCAAAACAAATGTCTTCTGCAATATTATTAGTTTGTGTGAACTTAATTAAATATTTGGATAATGATGTCCCTTCAATAAAAATTTGTACATAAATTATTTTTGTGTTTAAATGAAAAACACTAGAAGTACATCATCAATGAAAATGTGATAAATGGGAATAAAACAAAATAAATAACAATTACTTGTTTTTGTTGTTATAAATTGTTATGACACGGCAACCAATTGCACATTATTTTGAGCTAAAAGAAGATTAAATCGTTATAAACCAATGGAAGTCAAACAATTTATGTTTTTACTATTGTAAACTGTTATGGTTTTAATATCCATAATAAATTATTAATGATAGAATTCGAAACAGAAAAGACCAAAAATGATATTGCTACGTTATTTAAGAAAAAACTTGTTTTATTAAGTAGTACATACTTACTATTTTTAAATTAAATTTTTCTGTTTTCTGTACATTTGAAATGAAAATAAGATATGTATGTAATTCTGAAGATAATGAAAATTGAAATGTAAGTATATATTTTTTTCAAACTACGTATAATTTTCATAGTGAACCAATTTGTAAATAAATATAAAACAGGGTGTCCACTACAGTTTAAAATATAAATGAGTCATCCATTAATTTCATTAAAATATGAGAGTTACCAAAGAATATGCCTTTTAAATTATTTCTATAATTGCCTACATTATACTTAGAAAATTATTTGTTGGTGGCATATTTCGCCACCAGTTATAAAATTAAGAAAATACAAATAAGCTAATTTTAAAACAGCAAATTATTTTATATAGATTTTGAATATGGTAAAATGTACAATTTATTAACTTTGTAGACATAGGTTTGGTCAGTATACCAAAACCAAAATAATATGAAGTTAGGGGCATCTATAAATAATATAATTTTCTTAGCGCATTTATATATGAAATCAACATATAAAATAAAACCTGCGTTAACTCATGTTAATGTATTATATTGAACAAATAACAAAATATAATGGACACCCTGTACACCATACTGCATGCATTTAAAATTGTATTAGTATTACATATTAATGTTTAATCTTATTCCCTCAACAATAGGTAAAGAGTTGTTGCCAACACCAGTTTTAAACTTCTCTAATAAAATTCCTCGAATACATGTAAAATATCATAGTGACAATTTTAAAGCGAAAAATGAAGATCATTCCCCAAAAAGTGGCTCATAACCAGCACAAATATTAAACATTTTGTATAAATATATGTTACAGTGACTAATATTTATAAATTTCCTCACGAGAAGCACTTAATATTAAAAATAAGTTCATTCTTAAAATAAATAATTCCGCAAAAGGAAATTCCGTCCAAAGCAAGTAAATCTCACTTTGTCAATTGAAGAAATGGAGATATTTTTCCTCAAGTAGTAGCCCACATTCAGTGGTGCTTAAAAAGTACAAACGCTGTACAAAAACCATATTTTGGCTGCAAAATTGCTATTTTAAATAGCATGCTCTTGTATGGACAGATTTAGGTAAAGTATTTAAAATATATATTACTTTTTCTGTGTAACTTTTAACAGCTACTTATTAATTTTATGACAGCAAATTACAAAAAAATAGGTGCATTAAAAAATATTTAGAAACTGAAACTCTTAATAATCTAGTGACAACAATTAACACTCTAGAAAACGTTTCCTAAAAGGAAGTGCTTTATTTAATATATCACAAGAATGTAGTCCAATATCTTATAATGCACTGTCCGATATTCATCTTGTAGGAAATTTAGTTTCTTTTTGTTATTTCCATGTTAACATTCTGTAAAATTAATACTAACATGCTTTTGTTTTTTAGGTTGAGCATGTATGGACGTCGAGGGATGTGGTGGTATCGTATTCTACGGTTTGGATTAAGTTTCATCCGATTGATTTTTGGGAAATTTGAATAAAAAATGATTTTTGATTAGAAGGAATGACTTTGAAATAGTTACATTAATGGGCATGTTTAGATTTATTCAATAAAAATCTAAGCGTTATATCATTCCGTGTTGTATGTACATATGTACTGTTCAAAATATTTAAAAAATGCAATTGAGAAGTACTGAAATAAATTCTGTAAATTCAAAGTATTTTGGAAAAAGTGTATTAAAGTAAACAGGATATAATAAATCAAAAAAACCATTATCTCCAGAGAATTTCATAGATCTGGGAATATTAATAAATTTCTCTTAATTTTTAAGAAATTTTTTTGAATTCCAATCGTAATTGGTCTTTATTTAAAAAATATGTGATATATTATAATTATTGGAAAGACTGTTCAAATGATTTTCTTCCATGAACATTAAATAAGTGCAATCGGGATAATCCTAACCTACTTTTAATTTTCGAGAAAATGGAAATCACTGAAATTAAAAATTAAATTTTTCGAAATAAAAAAACAATTAGTCTAATTCTGATTGAATTTAACTTCCACTTCAAAATAAAGTTAATATTTAAAAAATTGAGGTTATGCCAGTTTTTAATTCTTTTTGACTTTTAAATTGACGTCATTAATTTTTAAAAATATTACAAGTCGAGTTATTTTTTCCCGACAAAAACTGAAAAATTCCACATTTAAGCAAAAAATACTTTTTCCAAAATTTTGTTTTTCTATTTGGCACAAACTTTATGGCAATGTATAATTATCAAATTATAAATGCTAAAAATTTACGTGGAAACACAAAAAAAAGTTAGGAATTAACTGAAAAATTGAAATTGATAAGTTTATCTTTTCACGAGCTGGAAAATTTTTCATAATTGAAAAACTTGGATATATTAGCAAATTTTTTTGTTGAAATTCGTAGAAAAATTAGTAATATAAAATTAAAAAACCCAAATTGTAAGCTTGAGAAAGTGTTGAATTTTTACAGAATTTATTTCTAATCTACAGGTTGCAAAATTCAATTTTCCCTAAAATCAAAATTAATATCTTTACAGTTACCTTTCCAGGATATTTAATTATCTATTTGCTAATACATTGGATATAAAGGATTTAAAAATTAAATTGTTTTTTAATTCCCAATTTTCCTATTTGTTAATTAATTTTATTTGAGATTGATACATCACAAAAATTTAAAGTAGTAAAATGATTATCAATAGTGTGTTGATATATTGGCTAAAAAGATTATACACGGTAAAAGGTAACAATTATCTAAATGATACAAACTTGATATGTTCAAATTCTTAAATGCAGCGAATCAAAGAAACTTGAAATTTTACCAAGTCACGCGTGGTTCAATAATAGTTGGGGCATGTATACTAGATGCAAGATGCGTACCTAGATTTCTGGTGTCAAAGGTGTGGTGTATTCATATTTTTTCTTAACTTTGAAGTAGCTTAATAGCTTTAAAAAGAGTAAAAACTTGGGAGTTAATAATAGAATATGTTCTTTTAAAATTTAATTTCACTTGACTGACTCGATATCACAGAAATTGTCATGTTTAGCTGTTTAGAGCTTTTGACTCAAAAAGTTCACAATTTTGCTGTGAATTCTTAAATGGAAAAAAAAACATGTTTTTATACTATGAAACTGAAATATTACCTCATATTTTTTTGCATTACATGGATATATTGGCGGGCCACTTACGCTTAATTAAAGATGGTAAAAAGCAAAAATATTGCGATTTAGCCGAACTTATACCAAAAGTTGATAGTTAAAGAAATACAGGGTGTTTATTTTCATTTCTTCGTAAATGCAAATAGCTATACAAAATTTTGGGGTTCTTTGGCTAAAGGAATTGAAATTTGTTCACATTTTGACTATACTTCATAGAGGGCGCCAGCTGCCGTAGATTGAATATGTTGAAAGCGACCTCCGAGTAATCGGCATAACTTTTTTGTACTTTAAAGTATCTATCTTATTTTCCACTTTTTTTACATAAAAAAGGTAAACTTTATTAAAGTAGCTGTCACCATTTTTGAGATGTTTGACTTTGAAACATCCAATGCAGTTGCATTAATAATATGTGATTAAAACCTAATTGTGTGCGCACCTTACGACATGTTCTAGTACTAAAACTGAGATGTGAACAGGTCTCGGATCTCTCTTCTCTTATCCTTATCTATGAAATATGAATAGATCCTTCTGATAACTTACAAGTAATTAATAATTTTCACTGAAGTTCAATAGATTTACACATATTTTAGGACAGATTTTAAATGTAAGTACAATATTAGTATTTTTTTTTAATTCTTAGTACGTATTTTAAATTTAGTATTAAAATAGTTACTTTGCTATAATATTGAGGTTAGGATAAGTATATTCTTGTTTGATTTAAAAAAAGGCACTTTAATCATTTGGAAAGTTATATGGTATACCTACTATTTTCTAGACCAATTTGTTAATTATAGTTACGTAATTTTGTTATTTTTTTTATTTTCATATACAATTTGAAAAGAAAATGGGCGATTCTGAAAACCTTCCAATATCTAATGAAGAGGCTTTAAATTTGTGTAAAGAGCCATCAAGAGACACAAAGGTAAAATGTAAATTTTCATTAATTTGAGGAATAATACTTCTTTAATAGGATTTTATCATGCAACAAACAATGTACAGAATTAAAGATCCAAAAAAGTCCATTCCTTTCTATACAGAAGTTTTGGGAATGCAGTTGCTAACAAAACTAGATTTTCCTTCAATGAAATTTTCACTATATTTTTTTGGTTATGAGAAGCCGGAAGATATACAAAATGAACTTTCTTCCCCAGAACGAATTGAGTGGACCTTTGGTAGAAAAGCAACAATTGAATTAACACAGTAAGTAGATCGCTATTTGTTAAACGGAAAATGTAAAGGCAATTTTGTAGTAACTGGGGAACAGAAAATGATGACAGTTATAAACCACACAATGGAAATCAGGAACCAAAAGGATTTGGTAATATGAAAGCATTAAATGTAGTTATTAACTAAACTAGATCTGTTTGAGATATCCACTTTTAAAAACATAGACAACATATTATAATTTTGGTTATATATTTTTTTCTATCACGTGCGCTCGCTATGGGACTTATAGCGTAGGGGGTTATGTGCATGGAAAGTGCCAGATAGTACAACGGCGTGATGTTATTCATCACGCCGTTGTACCTACGCTATAGGTTCCATAACGACTCGCACTTGTGATAGAAAATAGTATGTGCAACTCGTTCGGAAAAGTTGCCAATAGCGCCACACAAGCGCAGTTGCTGTACTCGTTACACAAAGTACTTTAAATATGTGCTTTGCTTATAAAGCCGAGATATACATAGGCTTTAACAGGACTGTTATTAAGTTCAGTCTTCCTCATGGAAATTTAAATCTCTCATTGAGCAGTAAGCATACAAATACCTTTGCCTTTGTAATGTAATGAAAAGTAATACAGTGGGTCAAATATTGGGTGATCCAATCATTTTCAGTGCGGTTGACCATTACCAATGCATGCATTAAACTTTCAATAAACCTCAACAAATAAGAATCATCACAAATATCAGAAAATATACTTAAAAAATATATGTAAAATAGATGCATGGTACGGTACGATTTTACTATCAGTTTTTTCCTTCGGATACTCGATATTTTGTACCAGTATTACAGCTTACGATACAATACAATATGGTACATTTTTTGGCAATGCGTAATGGTATTATGGATCTTAAGAAGGCTTTATAGCAAATAGGCAACCAGCAATACATTTTTATAGATTTTATTAAATACAGTTTGTCTAAATATTAATTAATGCACAAATAAATGACATACTTTGTCCCATTTTAACGCAGATTTTCTATAAAATGGACTTAGTTTGAAACTCAAATTACTTTTTGGTGTACAGAAATTAGTAATTTACAATGACGCTTGTTCAAAAGCGCCACAATACAAATTTCTTCACAACAAAATGTAATTTGAGTTTCAAACTAGGTCCATTTTATGGAAAATCTGCGTTAAAATGGGACAAAGTCTGTTATTTGTACATTAATTCATATTCAGACAAATGTAATAAAATCAATAAAAATGTATTCAGATCAGAAATATGTAGTGATTTAATTTACTCTTTTAATGCTGTATTTCATTTCCATACAGCATGACTGGTTTAAAAAGTAGGTAGTTGAAAAGTTTATATTTTATATTTATTCAAAAAGTAGCATAGATAAATATGTTTTTCATAAAATCTTAGAATTTTTTTATGTATCGGTACTTTTTATCGTGCACCTTTAAAAATCTTGATTTCTAATCGTCATTTTAACACTCGTCTATAGATGGCAATACCAATCAAAATCCTGTGATAAGAGCTGTTTCCCTTTTGCAAATTTTTACCTTACACTTCGAGCATATCTACTGGAGGTAGCATGCTTAGAGCATATACTACTGGAGGCAGCGTCTCATTGGCCGAGAGTGTTGCGGAGGTTTGGAGAGAGAGAGAGAGGGATAGGAGAGTATGTGCTATCTCTCTAGCAACATGCAATCGCGTGCTGCTAGAGAGATAGCATATACCCTCCTATACCTCTTTCTAAACCTCCGCTACACTCTCGGCCACTGAGACGCCTCCAGTAGTATATGCTCTAAGGCCGCAACGAAATAACCACGATACAAACAGCAACCAAAGTAACGGTGACTTTCCACTCCACGGTGGTGGTTGCAGCGACCTAAGGGTCTTTCGATTTGGCAAAAACAGGAGCTATTAGCTTTGTTCGTACAGCAGTCAGAAACTATCAGCAACTGTATGACACATGCGTGATAGGTCAAAAGCGTTCGCTTCCGTGGCTCCTAACTAAAAATTTAATGTTCACACAACAAAACTTACGAGTTGTGGACTGGTTTCCAACCATCAAAATAATTCGCTCTCCCAACAAATTTTTGGTTTCGAACATGCGCATTATGCGCAGTCTTGAACTAGCGATGATCTATGCTGTCAAATTCAAAAGAATAACAATAATTTTAATACGTTTAGTTATAATATAAAACCGAAGTGACAAATGAACAGACCATGAATCTGTTCAAAATAAGTCGTCAACGTAAATTTGAAATAAATAACTATTTATAGGTTATGGTCATTCGGTCACGATTCACTCCAGGATTTTTAATCTGTTCGCAGTGCAAAAAATTTTAAATCGTTCGGAAATTAGTTTGACGCCTCACATTCGCAGTGGAAAATTGTCAATCTGTTGGAAATTGCATTCTGTGAAGAACAGCAACTTAGAGTTAGTCCGAACTGATATTAGTTGCTAATATGTACTATTTTTGTCAAAACGAAAGCCCCTCTAGTAAGTCGCAGCGCGCAGCCGGACAAATGCCTAATGCCAACCAATGAGCTATACTACTAGTATAGAGTTCACTGATGACAACATAATAAAAATTGACATTGACAACTTTAGAAGCTGGCTAAATACCCTCTGGGTGAAGGCCAAAAAAAAAAGAAGAAGAAGAAGATAATTAACCTTAAATTATCAAAGAAAGTCTTGGTAAATATCAGCTATTTGTAAAAATCAGATAATTGTATTACTACGTAAATATCAATAGTCACCATTACAATAACTACAGACAATCCAGCAGATATAATAAATACCATAGATTAACCCAGGATAATTCTACAACGTAATCGACGTTTATAAACTACTGTACACACATAATATGTAATTGTTGATTAACTTTTACACGCCTAATAAGTGAAAATTGAAATGCCGAAAGAACGACAATGTAGACGTGATTTATTTCAGAAATGGATTGATAGCGACCCTGAGTTTTATGGGAATTTAGATATTCGAGATAATGACCTATTTTGTACAGTCTGCAAACGATTTATAAATTCTTCCACAAAATATGGAGTAACCAGACATTTAAGCAGCCATAAAACCTCAACCGTTCATACTGAAGATGCAGGTTTCTTTCATGAACTTACACAGGCATTTGTGGCGAGTGGCATTCCATTTGAAAAATTAAATAATCCCACTTTACATACATTTCTTGAAAAATATATGGACCGAAAAATTCCTCATCCATCTACTTTAGGGAAAGATTATATTAATGAAGTATATAACGATTCAATAAAAGCAATACGCGAAGACATTTCAGACAATTTTGTGTACTTTATTATAGATGAAGCTTCCGATGTGAGCGGACGTTCCGTGGTAAATTTTTTGATAGGTGCATTAAAAGATAAAGGTGCTAGTGATAACCATTTACTTGCATCCAAAGTACTGGACAAAACCAATCGCCAAACGATTGTAAATTTTGTTAATGATTGTTTTAAATATTTGTGGCAGGATCAAGGTGATTATTCAGATAAAATATTAGTAATGCTTACCGACACAGCCTCATATATGGTAGAAGCAGCTAATATCTTGTCTCAAAAATATCCGTATATGATACACTTTACATGTGCTGTCCATGCACTTAATAATATAGAAGAAGAAATAAAAGACTGTTTTCCTTTAGTGACCAAATTGATTTATAATGTAAACAAAATTTTCATAAAAGCACCTACAAGGAGAGATGTTTTTCAGGAGACTTTGCCAGACATACCTTTGCCACCGGAACCTATTGTAACTCGAGGTGGTACTTGGTTAGAAGCCATAGCATATTATGATAAATATTTTGAAGGTATAAAAAATGTTGTTTTGAGTTTTGATGCACAAGAAAGTAATTTCATAAAGATATCACAAGAGATGATCATTGAGCCAAGTCTACGTGAGGACATCAAATATATCAATACAAACTACAGTATAATAATCAGTGCAATGACAAAGTTAGAAATACATGGATTATCTTTAAATCAGCAATTTACAATGTTGAACAAGGTTAAGGATAAGATAAACAATGTCAGTACAGGTTTAGTTAATGTTGTAGTGAAAGAGAAAATGTTAAAAACGTTTGAAGCAAATCCTGGGTACACCATTCTAGAAAACATATGCAAATTTCTCAATGGCACATGTACGAAGTTAGCTCCCGATGTATTAAAATATAGCTCGTGTACCAGGAAGTTTTTATATTGCCCTTTGTCAACAATTGATGCTGAAAGATCATATCTGTTGCACGAGTTTATATTAAGTGATAGGAAACCTCTTTCTCTTACTCCAGAAAATTTAGAAAAGTTAATAGTAATAAATTTTGAACGACGAACCTTACATTAAGGTAGGCAACTCTCATATTATTGTACAGTTAGTATTAGTTAGTACCCATTTTTAAGTAGCAAAATTTATTTATAAGTAAAAATACACTTTTGATGTAACTTTAGGGGGGAAAAGTTGCATGGATTACAGTTTGACAACCTTGAAAGCCATAATATTAATTAACACATTGCGGCTTATCTACCTGTTAGGAAATGTATTTTATAAATAATCCCTCAGTCTAAAATGAGATACATTACTACTATGGAAAAACCACTAGGACTACATTTAAGGACACATCCTCAAGTAGTTCAGACAAAAATATAGATTGTTTAAGTCGGTCATTTCCAGAGGTGGATTTAGAAATGTGCTGCCTATAGGCTGAACTAAACCGTCGCCTATGCTATATTTCTTACAATACTAAAAATAGGTAATAAAATAAGGACTATGAAAGTTATGCATATAATTAGAATAACATAAAATGCAACAAAAATTTCACTCCAACAAAATATAAAAACTCGTATATTATAACATATTTACATATAGATATCCAACTATATAAAAATCACCTTTCTTTCGCTCGCATTACACTTTTCGTCTGAATTTATTCTCAATGAAAATTTCACTTCATGAAAATCACATCGTCAAATAAAATTGAATTCGCAGTGTCGGATTCAATTATTGATAAAACTGCTAAAACGTTCAATTTGCTTTCGGACATATCTACTTGAGCGTAAGTATATATGTTTTAATTCTTTTCAAGTATGAGACTGAACGTTCCGAAAAACAATTGCTTACTGCCATTGATTTGTAAATTCTTAAAACTATAGCCATATTAGAAAAAATATCAACCAGATTTCGATCTCTAATCCAGTTGCATATATTGCTATTTACATTTTTTTTGTCTTCTAGTGCCAAATAATCTTTGAGGTGCAGGATCTCTTCAACTAGATCGTCTGAAATGTCCTGTGAATAAACTTCACATAATTTTAACGCTTCACTCCTTATTTCTCCAACAGAGATTTCGCAAAATTTAAAGAGAACGTAGAAAATTTCAAACACTGTCATACGCACATTTTCAACGGTCCAATTCCGAGATTAATCAATCCACAATTGTAATGAATACATTTATTTTGAAATCATCTCTAGCACTGAACAGAACTTCTTCATCAGTGTCACTTTCATCGAAATGTTGTTTTCTCTTTCTGGCACGCCTTTCGCTTGCAGTGTACACAAAAACTGGGGCAAAACGCCACCGTGTGGCTCATTATCGAAAACTGAGTAGAGAGATAATAAATTTGGAGAAGTTGATAAGTACTCCGTTTTCAATTGGCCGAAGATCATTTCGTAGCTTGTTTTTGGTGAAATTTGTGTGACACACATTTTGCTGTAAACACCATTCACAAAATTGTATTCTTACAGGATGATCGTAAAGCATTAAGACTTGAACTGCATATGATATGAATAAAGTTGATTTTTATATGAAGTAGTGTAGACTTTAGTATGAGACGCCTCAACTCGTACAAAATGTCTGGTATTAGTCGTTCAATTTTTGTCAATTGCATATTTTAGTTAGACTTCTCATGTACTGTTATATTAATTAATTTATCACTACTGTAAATATGGGCTATTTTAAACATCGAAACTATATAGTGTATGGATTAAAATTTAAATCGCCTTTAATTTTTTGAGATGTCACTTCATTTTTGAATTACTGGTATAACTATGCTAAAATATCTAATTCCTAAATTTTTTGTTGAACTTTTGAACTGTTAGTATAAGAATTGAACATTATAAAATTTTTCTAAAGACTGCAAAATCAAACAGTTTGACTTCTGCAGATAAATTTTTAAGATCTGCCATTATGTATTATACCATTGATCTAAATACAGTCCTGTTAAGAGCCATACTTTTGCTTTAAATGGCTTTTCTGTAACTCGTATCCAACACGCCCTGGAGATAGTGGGTAACCTCTTAAATTTGCAAAAATGTTACAAGTTCACATAATTTTTTTTATTCGAGTTTACCCTGTATAGTTATTAGCTCTAGAAGTTGAGAGTTGGAAATTGATTTTTCATTATCTCTTTCGTATTTCATTAAAGTATAGTTTTGGGTGAAACATGTGTTATTTGATGCTATTTCTATCAATGTATTCAGTTTATTATTAACTGCTTTGGTGGGGGGGTACATTTTTTAAGCGAAAATAGTGTACCTACTTGTTTGATATCCATACAACGAACCATTTTTGAAATAAATTCATTTAACTATGGAGATAACTATTTTTCACACATCTTCATAGTAATTAGACGTGAAAACAAAAGTTTCTAATTTGTGCAGCAAAATAAGTAAGTAATAACAAATGTTATTTAAGTTTTAAAAATGATGACTTGGGGAGTCCGGACTGCCGAGAGTGCTTTGCCTCGGGGCTTCAAAATAGCTATCGATAAATTGAGTACATTAATAGAAATAGTTTCAAATAACACAGCTTTTACTAAAATAATTTTGTAATTTTTAGGTCATATTGGCGTTATGGTGCCGGATGTTTACAAAGCTTGCGAACGATTTGAAAAACTTGGCGTCAATTTTATAAAGAGACCCGATGATGGAAAAATGAAGGGCTTAGCCTTCATTACAGATCCTGATGGATATTGGATTGAAATATTTAATAACAAAGCGACAGCCGGTGTTGTTAAAAAATCTTAAGGCTTTTTTACTTTGATTCCTTCTTGTATATTGTTTACTGTATTGTAAATAAATTTATCACTATTATTTTATCAGTTTTAAAGAAAAACTATTAAAACGCCAATTTGTTTCACAATTTCTTTATTAAAAGTAATTACATTTATTTAGTCGTTTCCTTAAGCCTCTCGGAATTTAATAGGATTGATAATGAGATTAATTTAAATTTTCAAAAATTTGTAGTATACAGTACAGAAAATAGACATTAAAAAAAATTTAAATACATCGATTAGTGCTTACATTGACATACTAATATTTAACAAATTCGACTACTTATTGGATTCATGATAAGACTAATGACTAGGATAAATTTTATAAAAAAATCAACAACTTAATTGAGCTATTAAAATTTTTTAACTGTACAGAAACAATGCCATCAAGGAGAAATTTTATTATACATTCAAGGGATAGAGTTCAGATAATACTTAATTTTTTTTGCTTCTGATAAAATTGCAAAGACCTGAAAATTTTACATTGTGTATATTCCAATTAGGAGAATACTGGAAAAGTTAATATTTTTGTCCAAAACTGTCTTCACCTACTACTTGAGTTAGTAGAAGAAACTAATATGGAATTTGATTTTGATAATACTGAATCATATCGTAAGTACGAGTTCTAAAGTTAAGGAAACTATTCCTAATAATTTGCAACATGTAGGTGGCTGCCTCCTTATCTGTTATTGAGGGGTTGAACCTCCCCCTGAGTAGTTTTATAGTCTGTCCTCGGAAGCACGGTAGGCCAGTGTCTAGCATCAGCGAAACAAGAGATATAATTGCTTCATGATAAGGCCTACAAAAAATGTTTATATCAAATGACACACTTTAAAAAATTAAAAATGCTTACTAAGAAAAAACAGCCAGTCTAAATAATGGCTTTGCCATAAAAGCAATTTTGAGAGTGTATCATGTGAATATTAAATATTAAAAGCACTTAAAAATATAGTGGCCCAAATTAAAGAAAAGTTTGCCATTGATATGGCGTAAACGGATAGATATACTCTTCATTCTTTTTAGATAAATCTAAAGGAACTCATTTGGTAACCTTTTCTGGACTTTCTCATGAAAATATCAGATTTGCTGTCTGCCATTTCGTTTCGAGTGTACTATTAACTGATGTGTCACTTGTGGTGGTTTGATTACACAAGACCACAAAATAAAATCGATGAAAGGTTCCCTTAACTAGACCAGGTGCATTATATGTTTTTGAGATCACTGAAACTGAATCCGTGACCCGTTTTGCCTCCTCACGTCAGGTTTTTTCCTAACCTCAAAACGTAGATAAAAACGATACTCAACAATATCAACCTTGCAACATAATCAAAATTCATATCCTTATGACCCAAGAACCCAAAAACGCAAAAACCCATAACCCTTAATTCTAAAAACGCCATGACCCTATAATTGCAAAATGTAGCACTGGAGACTTACATGGGAGACTCGTACTCTGAATCTCATAACCCAAAACTCTATAACCTAATAACTCCAAAATGCGGTAACAAAGGGACTTACAGGTGAGACTTCACACCGAATCTCAGATTTTTTCGTGGGTTTGCATCCAAGACATCACGTGGTGACAGTGAGCAACAGAGTTATAACATGATCCGGCAGAGTCTATGGATTATGGTGCTTACACCGTCATGGTAGGCACAAAAAAAAAATACAATGCAAGTCGGCGACTGGTCAGGGTAGGACCGCGGGAATACAGGCGTTATCAAGCAACCACAGCTCTACATTAGTGGGGAACTGACGAGTATAATACTACACGAAGGATATTGTGCAATAAGAGCGTAGACAATTTCTGAGTCGTTTGTGGAGAATACGTTGTCACTAATCCCAGAAAGAAATTCACAGATATACTTAACCCTCAAAAACCTCAAAAACATATAATGCATGTGGTCTGGTCAAAGGAAACTTTCATCGATTTTATTTTGTTGTCCCCTGTTATGTTTTAGATACATTTCAAACAACAGAAGTTTTGAAAATATTTCTAAGTATGGCCTTGTATTTAAAAAAGTAACTAAAACTAAACGTTCTAGTTAGAAAAAGTTCAAAGTATTTTGAACTACAGTTCAGATAAAACTATTTCGTTAATATGTTGTAGGTACTTCATTATTTGTTACAATGGGGCGTTTGCATAAAAAAAATGTGTAGCGTTTCGTCATTCCATATGTACATTTTTATTTGATTTTAAAAATTTTAATTCTAACCAAACACCATTGTTATTAACTTATGATGTACCAGACTATGGACGTTGTTAATAATAATAAAGCAAAATCCATATTTAACTAATTCCTCTGTCTCCCTATTGGCTGTCGTCATCTAGTATTTCCCTTTCTAACATTGCTTGATTGTTTAACTATATTATACAGGGTGACATGGAAAAAGTGCAATGCATAGCACCACTTGATAGAGGACCTCAAAACATATTAAAAGTTCCTATACACTTAGGTTTAAATTCCTTTTGTTTTCAAGATACAGAGTGCTAAAAAATTTTGGAAAATATTGATTTCTTTTCATTACTTCCGATTAAGTGGAGGGAATGTACTAACAATTGATACATAATATCATCTACAGGTTGCCAGCCAGTGGTGGAGTTGACAAATTAAGAGGAACTTTTAAAAGGAATTATATTATCTATCGCAAAAAGTTCAAATAATAATTTTTGCAAGGCCATATCAATTTATTAATTTGATTTAGGCATAGTGAACCCTCTAACTCCACCACTGGTTAGGAACCTGTAGAGGATACTATGTAATTGTCAGTAGATTCCCTCCACTTAATTGCGAGTAATAAAAAAAAATTGATATTTTCCCAAAATTTCTTTAACACTCTGTATCTTGAAAACAAAAGAATTTTAGACATAAGTGTATATCAAATTTTATATGTTTCGAGGTCCTCTATCATGTGGTGCTATGCATTGCACTTTTTTCCTTATCACCCTGTAGGAGTCATTGACATTTTAGTAGAACTTCCTATTAATAGATGGCGCAATTAAAGTATGGTTTAGCACATCACATATGTCTTTTCTGTTTGCTCTAGCTATATCAGAAAAAAAATATTCAGAAAGATGAAACATTCAATTTTCTCAAAATAAAAAAAAAACAAATATATTTGAAATCCATATACCAGATAGTCTCCCAATGATGCAACTTTCTAACTTGAGCCCTGTATCTTAATTTTTTTAAATCTTCATGGTAAACATCCTTATGTTGGACATAGTGCACAAAACTATAATTTTCATGGAAGTAACACTTTCCTGCCCAATCAACCAACTCTTTTTTTTGTCATAGTTTTACCGAAGCTTTAAGGCAACTATCTTAATTTTCATATCTTTACTCGACCAAAAAGATGTATTTATTTTACCTGACTGCAAGGTAAGCTTGTACGCACAGATCCGAAAACCATTTAAACGGAGCTGCTTCCATTTTACCCCCCATTATCATAACCATTTCATCTGTAAGTTTAATGTCCGGTTCAAAGCCTAAGTTTCCACCTGGTGAAGACTCGAACATAAACCCGAAATCTAAAAAACACAATTGTCGATGCTACTTTGTAATTCTAATTCTGTAAACTTACCAATATGAATAATGTGCCCCTCTGTATCTAACATGATGTTGCCATTGTGCCTATCTTTAATCTGTAAGAGAAAACCTATGACGCTGTAAGCAGCCATCGACATGACAAAATTTCTCCTCGCATTTTGGAACTCTTTAGTGCTTTCATCGCCATATTTTTTCAAAAAATATTCGTACATTCCTATGTCGGTCTGTCTACCTAACTGATCACGAGATTTGGCATTCGGTACACATTCAATCACCCCGCACTGAAAATAATTTATAAATATTACCAATAGTTTAAGTATCATATAACGAGCTTACCCCTGGTGCTGTAGCAACTACGCGGTAAGGAAATAGATATAAATCTAAACCAACAGTTTGAAAAATATTCTTGAATATACCAATAACTTGCAGGGCCAACATGTCTTGTCGCACATCGTCTCCTACCTTGAAAATAGCTGCTTGCCACATCTCGGGACCAAGACTTTGATCACGGGTCTAAAACAAAAATGTGTTTAAAATGTTTAAAAAGTACGTAGAATATTTAAGATCAGAAGTGTTACAGTATATACCTGATTAACGGAAACTGCCATAGCGATACTCTCTAATTCATTAATTCCACATCTAGCCACTTTAAATCTTGCCAAAAAAGGCGCTTTGGCAGCACTTTGCATAGGAATACCACTGTTATAATCGATATCCAACACCATCGCTTCAGGATTGCTGGGTAAGTAGCAACCTGATTGTACCTATCATAATTAATACATAAAGACGTTTATTGAAGAAGACAAAAAATATATCAAACCATTTATGACAGTTTTTTAATAGCAAATAATGAGATGAGTACCTAAACATATAAAACTAAAAATGTACAGGGTGATTCAAAACTTATCAAAAAAAATTTTTTTTAATGTACAGGGAACTCTTACAAATACAAATTTGTAAATAAAAATCCAAAACAGCAGTTAAAAAATTATTGAAAAATACACTTCTGCACGGCACTGCAAACTGGTCGACTGTAAAACCTGACCTTGCACAAGGTGAAGCATGGAGTCGGCAACCGGCACGGCAGCAAATGACCAGACAAAAAATTGAAAGAATTTCTTTCCTAAGGAAAGAAATAATTAAAATTTTATAACACCCATTTTGCTTTCACCACTACAGTTATTATTAATTAATAAAATTAATTTGTGATTTTAATTAATAAAATAATTTACCTGATGTTACAACTGTTCAAAATTTTATCCGCCAACGTGTAAACACATTTGGGCCCGTCTTACACAGTTTCTACAAACTAACACAAATGTTGTCTTGCTTCACCATAAATTACAACGCTAGGTATCCATTTTTGACACTTGAAAAACTAATGTAAACACTATCGCAAAAACGTTAATACTAGTACTAAGGGATTTCTGTATTCGGAATCGCCTGGGGCCACGTGGAGATAGAGCGCATTGCACACAACGCAAAACGCCAATGATGCTAGAAACTATATAGCCCAGTAAATGAAATTTGTAATGCATGTAAATCAAAAGGTAATTCGTTTCAGATTGAAACTTGATTTAATCATTAGTTTAGGCAAAAAGAAATAATATTTCCCAAATAGTATCGGTTTATAACAACAAGATCATTGTTTAAACAATAACTATACATAATGTAAAAATTACCAAAAATTGAGTTTTTTAGCTGAATTAAAAGGCGCTTTCCAACGAGAGGTTTCGCTTTTGTTTATACTTATAGGTTTTTAAAAAAACGCTTCACTTGAGACCTGCTAAATTAAAATCCATTACCAATTTGTTTAAATAATTGCAAAAAAACAGGGAAATTTGAATTTGTTATAAATAGAAAAAAAAAGCATAAATCGTCTCTAAACTGCAGTAAAAGGTTGTATTTTGTTACGCTTAAGAAACCCTGAAAATTTGGTAAAAATATATTTATTTGTTTACGAGTTTTTGCATTTGTTTATTAGAAGTAGCATTTTTTCAATTGCAAAAACGCGGTTGTTAGCGTTATAATAAAGAGCCTTACGAGGGTTCATTTGTTTCGTCTTGACTTATGATATATGATATCAAGATATGGAATTGGAAATTGTAATTTCATAGGCTAACCTCCTCAAAACGGCGTATAAACAAATAGTGTAATTTGTTTATAAGGTTTTTCGTTAATAAAAAAAATGAATATTTTTTAAAGCCGCTTTGATATTTGTAATTCTGGTAATTTTTCACTAATTTAAAAAATAATTGTTCTAGGACCATTTTTAGCCTATAGCATTTTTTTTTAAATTCATAACTTGTTTATTTATAAACATTAAGACTTGAAATTTCGGGAATAAATCAATCAACCCTTAAACTTCATAATAATAATAATATCTCTACTCCTCATTCTAACTATGAGAATTAGCCCAGAAGTCGGAGACTTGTGGGGAGAGGAGGCGGCATATTATTATTACGCAGGCCGCATTTGCGCCCAGGAACAACTTATGTTGGTAGGCCCTAACCACCATTCAGTCCAGGAATGAGGGAAACCTGGAAAACCTCATTAATTAGGGGGGTGGTCAAATGCCAACCGGTGCCAATCTTTCACATTGACCAACATTCTTCCACCCTACCATACCTGCACAGAGGGTGCCAATCCTCCGTACAAGCATAGCTAATCTACGGTCTACCGGCCGCGGGATTTGAAACCCGGGCAGATCGACACATCGATTTAAGTACGGACGCCTTAAACCGTGCGGCTATCGACCGTGTTTGTAATAACAATTAAAGATATCGAAAAAAATGCATTTTATATTAATTTTTAACCCTTTAAAGAACATCCTCGAATACATTTTTACACCAGAAATGTGGTGGGGGAAATAAGACAGAAACGTTCCGAGACTACAAATCTTAACTGCCCGAAAATTTTGCGATATCTGGTAATTGTGGACCAATTTTAACGTTTTTAATCTGGGGTAGCGAATGAAAATAATAACATTTACACGGTCCATTTTGCAATAATTAATTATTAATTTGTTATAAACTATTAAGGGCTCACATATAGCTGAGCACCTAGAAGTAGGGTTATGTTTAAGATTTTTTTTCGTGTATAAAACTGCATTTTTTTAAAAAACCATAATAAACATTTTGAAGTATGGCATTTATTATAAATTGTGTGAAAATTGGGTTCGAAAATTTTGAATGGTAAAAAAATTGCAGTCGTTTTCCGGGGTGTGTTTTTTTCGAGAGCGTTCGCGGTACCAGACGTGCCTCCGCCATTTCTTATCTGAAAAAAAAAAAAAAAAATTATTTTCTCAAAGTAGATAGACAGAACTAGTACTTATCGAGCCGGAATTTGCGAATTCAATTTTTTCGGGTCATGGCAGTCATTTGCATAAAATTGGCGGTTTTTCGCCTTAAAATTGTTGAGTAATTATAAGAAAAAAAAAACTATGTAAAATATCGAAAAAAGGGCTCGATAAGTACTAGATTATTGTGTGAAGCATAACTTTGAAAAATTTGATCCCAATCGGTTCAGTAGTTGCGGAGATATTAACTGATACCGATTTTGAAAATACTGTTTTGAGTAAAACGCGTTTAAAGTTTTGCTTCCACTTTACAATGGAATAACTGGTTTATTTTTAAACTTACATGAAATCATCGATTCCTGGGCCATATGACGGATCGTCTCTAGACTTGTCGGAACTTGTCGGAACATGCTCTTGCTATATGTATAAAGGACGATAAATACGTAGAATCCAACAGGGGCGAGAACACCCAAATCGTGTAGTGTAGACGTAGACTATAGCCAAACAGATGACAAAGGACGCGTCTACCTGCGCCCGACCGTTATTCGTTGCTTACCAGGACAGTTACGAAACACTATAACTTCGTCATTACTGCGAATTTCTTTGTGAAATTTTCAGGGTAGACACTGAAGGACAGTACTTTCGAATGAGCACCTTTTTGAAAAATCGATTTTCCCAATTTACCCAGGTATATGTGAGCCCTTAATTTTGTAAAAACAATTTTTTGTCACATTTTTTCGAGAATTCATTTTTCACTATGGTACCAATAAACAATTTTCTTAAAAAACATTTTTATGTAAAAAAATTCAGGAAATTACATTTTTTACAAGTTTATTTTAATGAGAATCGAGTTTTTGGATGTATTATGCATAATAGTATTATTTTTTAACATTAAATTACATATTATATTATAAGACGGGTAAGTAAATTAAAACACTTAACACTTAAAAATCTCAATTTTTGGTCAATTTTACATTATAATCATTGTTTAAACAAGGATCTTGTTGTTTTAAACCGATACTTTTTGGGAAATATTACTGCTTATCACCTAAACTAACGAATAAACCAAGTTTCAATCTGAAACGAATTTTTTTTCATTTACTGGGCTAATAGCAGCCCAGCGATGTAAGGGTTGAAAATACTACAACTTCAATAATCTTTTTCTCGGAAACTATAAGGATTTTACAAAAATTCTATTCCTAAAATTTTTTGGGTAAGTTGTGAATCACCCTGTGTATTTTGGCCTAGACAATAAATAAAACATTTCACTATTTTTAATAACAAAAAGAATGTGTACCTTTATTTTGCTTAAAGCCCCCTGACATGCCCGCTTTCTCTCACCACCTTTAGGATAATGTCGAATTTCACCAGATATATTCGTAATTTTCCCGAAGAAATCAAATTCCCGTTCATAAAATAGCTTAGCCGGCCCTGATAGGTCACCGACTATACTATTCGTTAGAGATTCTAACAGTTCAAAGAGTATCACTGGAAGAAACAATAATTAACATATTCATGAGTTTATTTTCCTGCTAAGCTTACGATCTTTCTGATGCATATCTTCATCTATGTACATGTTTGTTTTCATGTTCCAAATCAACTGATGGGCGACAATTTGTGACTTTTTCGCAATATATCTTATGAATTCGATGACGTATCCCATCTAAAAATAATTTTTAGTTTCCTGTTAAATTTTATTTATATTATGTCGTACCTTATCATGCCTCAATGCTTGGACAAGTTGGGGAATGTAGAACAAAACAGCATCTGCGGGGTAAGAACTTAAGACCCTCACTGCGTACTGCGCAGAAATGGGGTGGGACGGAAATTGGCGACTGAAGAAAGCTAAGGCCTAAAATTTGATAGTATTAATTTCATTCTTTTAATTTTATTAAATCATTACTAATTTTCAACTTACTTGAATAGGAGATACTCTCGCCCACGTAAGCATATGTACCAACTTTGGGCTATCATTTAAAATAGCCTCGGTTGTTGCTAGATACTGTAAAGCCTCTGATACATGGGATACACATGTTGGATTTATCTGGACCTGACTTTTTATTTCATTAATAATAGCCTCATTTACCCTAAATCTGAAAAATTTGTGATGAATCAGAGGCTTGATTAGTGCAAAAAAAAACTCTACCTGGTAGGAAGGTAAATTGCCAAAACTGGCGATATGTCCCATGCAAGTCGTGTGTAATCATGCCACTGTTTATCAGTAATTGTTTTAGCTCTCCAAGATGCCGTATTATTCTCTCCGGGTATCAACAGCTCTGGTCTTGAGGTAGGATTGTGCCATACCGTTAGAAATTCGATCTCCACTGCCTAGACATTTCATTATTTAAATTGTTTGTGAAACACGAAAAAAATTCTCTCAACATAGAACTTTGAGCAACAAATATAAATGTTTTATACTGATTAAAAGAAACAATAATTCTTCGACGTGCATTTTTTTATAGATCTTTTTTTGTAGTTTTGGCCTTACCAATAATTCCAAAATCAAGTTCCTCTTCTTTAAATAGCACTTAACAAAATTATCGGCCATTGGAATTCTCTTTGATTTAGCCGACCTCCTGCTCAAAGTAGCTGAACTATTTGACAGTGGTACCGTGTTAATCCAACCACTTGTCGATTTATTAAATTCGCCTGGTTTTGCCAACTCGTTATTTGGTATGGAAGAAAAAGGAGCTGTTGGACCTAGATCTAAATCTAGAAAAAAAGGAAACTTGTAATAGATTGCATCCTGCCGACACAATCATAAGTTTCTAACATGCCCACCCTGTAATATTCATGTATCTGTATATAAAAATATGTGTCGGTAACTAACAGCGCATGTGGTTAGTGGAGGGAGATAGTGCAAGTCAACATTGAAGAAGTGAATGGAGTGTGATCTGGCTTCAGTGCGTCTAATTGTGAATTTGAACGTTTTTTCATAGCTGGAAGCCATCAACAGGTTGCGTAGGTGCAGTTACTGTCCGGTAGACATGTCTGTTGTCTAGGTGACGACCATTATTCAGAGGAAAACGACAACAAAGGTGGTATAATACGAACTGAGAAACTCCAAAGTATAGTCAGACATTTTCTTTCTAGTCCAGTGCCATCGTTAGAAGTTATATTAAACGTATTTAAACAGAAAACAATTTGTTATTAAATTTCAAAAAGAGCTTCACACCCTGAGGTCCACTTAGTTCCGGGGTCCGAATCGCGGGTGGGTCCCATTTTTTCTTTTTTTTTTTTTTTTGAAAAATGTTATATGTTATTTACTAACCCACAGAGAATGCACCGTGGAGCTCGAGAGGAAGTTGCCTACCGCGTCAGCGGACTTGCCTACCTTTCTAGTAAATATTTAAAGTGTAACTAGTCACTGATTTTGATGAAGTCTAAAATTGTTCGTAAAATAGTGTTCTTCAAGATTTAGGCAATCGCCGTTTGATTTTTTCTTCTTAAAACAAAAAATGCACGATGAGGCATGATTCATCTCTACAACTTCTAATTACTGAGATACAAACCAAAATTGGTCGAAGGACCTATTTCAAGGGTCATTTTGAGAGCACACGCATATTAACAGTTTTAAAGTTACAACATTTGCTTGTACAGTAGAACCCCAATTATCCGTGCACGGCTGATCCGTGTGGCAGATTCTTTGGGCGTTGCAATGTTTATGATCATCCGCTATCTGTGCGCCGATTATCCGTGGCGGGGCAAAAAAAGGTCTCAGAAACAAAAAAAAAAAAGATGAGTCTCTGCTTGTTTATCGCATACATATTATTTACCTACATATGTACAAATGTATGTAATAGGTATGTGTAATAAGTTCATATTTTTTGCAAAATTGGTGAGTTTGGGCGTTATTTCGATTAACCGTGTTTTCTATTATCCAGCAACGGTTTGGTCCCAGCCGGCCCAGATAATCGAGGTTCTACTGTATCATGTTAGATGTGAACCCATTTTAGCTTCCATTCACTCGATTCATCCCAATTGGTCTACCCACAAAATAATTATGAGTTGAAAGTGTTTCACGTTTTTATTAAATCTCTATTTCTGGCATCACATCCATTTGTAGAAATTATTTTATAGTCATATCCACGTCAAAAACGTATACAAAGTACGTATTCAACAATTCTACCATCCTAGGGTTGTTCAAATTTGCCAACCAATCTTTTCAGTTGTTTTATTTGGTGCACGTTTTAGTCTACCAAAAATTACATGTAATTTGCACATAGTCTCAGCTACACACTCTCCATACTTGTCATGAATTTTCACAGCTTTTACTCGCACTTTTAGTCACATAGCACTCCATTTTGTCTAACTGCCAACTTTCGGAATAAAAATGGCGCACAATTCAAATCCTGCGTACTTTTGGGACACCCTTTATATTTATACATACTGTTCATTTTAACTATAATGTTTGACCTGTCTTATGCATTGTATGATGTCTTATAAGAATTTTTGAATTTTTGAATTTTAATTATATTGACCCTTTCGCTGCGCAATATGTCTGAACGTAGCTACCGCGCCGTGCGCAAAAGTTTATCGCATGCAAATATATACGTCTGGAGCAGTTAGACCACTTATAGTTTTACATTATGTTGTGTTAAATTACGATTTTATTTTAAATAAAATACAGTATATCGACAGCTGTACTAAATAGAAACTGAAAGAAAGATGAACAATCTTGGTATTATTACCAGTACCTCTTTCCATAAAAATATTTGTCACAATCGCTTTAAGCTCGCCCGCAAAAATTCGCCATACCAATTGCAATAACCGAGTCACTAATACGCATGGTTGCGTATATATATATACGGTTTGAGCAGCCTGATCCAATTTAACTATTCAAGCAAATTAATCTGTCTGGAGCAGTTTGAGCCCTATAAATTTTTAGCGAATATATACGTCTGGGGCAGTGAACAGGTTAAGGTTTGAGGATTTCACGATGTGGCTATGAATATGCTTTTTACAATATTCTTATTCTTCGTACATAAAAAAGTAATGGTGGGCCAGACAAAACTTGCTTAAATGTCGCATTCTGTCCATACGTGCATTAGAACAAGGGTTATCCGTTTTCTTACCTCCCACATCACTAGCTTTCAAGTACTTTTTATCGGAATGTAGCGTTTGCCAAAATCTGACTAAAGTTGTGATATCTTCTCGCAATTCTGTGGAATCTTGAGTGGGACAAGTGACGGGTTTGCAAAAGTAATCTAAACAGCTGCAATATATCCTTTCACGTAATACATTCTTCGCGAGACTCTTTGGCAAAATGTCTCCTTGCAGTAACGAGAGCCCACACGTTAACAACCTATAACATTTTAACCCCATTTCAAATATTTATGAATATTTTTAGCTATCCAACAACTCACTTAAATCGTACTCCTATCGCAGCAACATGCCTAGTTTGGCATGGTGGTTCTGTCCCGACGCACATAGCCAATGAGTGGTGAATTAAACTTGCTAACATTTCCACCTTTTCGTAACTGCTATACTTTGTAGTTTCTACTAAATCACAGATAAATTGAACCCAAATGCCATGCGGCTTAACAAAAGGGGGGTTGGGTTCCAACCTACAACCTAAAAAATTAAAAATAAACAATTTGAAACCAGTAACTATTGCTAAGTACCTTCGTAGGCAGCTAAAGGACTGGTTTGTGGTGGTGTAACAGAAAAAAGGCCAAGACGCTTTTGCACAGTACAATTCCACGCAGACACCATTTCCTGTAAAAATCTAATTTCTAATTCGGGTTTTGAGGTTATCAACCACTGCCAGCACTCCACGGCAGTTCTCATTGCTTCCACAGTAAATAATTCCACCTGGAGTAAATTTGACGATCAGAAACAATACATGTGTTATTACTGGAAACTTACCTGAGACCAAGCGATGCAGTGAAGAAGATTCCTGTTTAAATCCGATGTGGAAATCAACAGTGCTGTAGCTTGCCAAAGCGCATCTCTGTGTAAGGAATCTGATTTCTCTTTACAAGCACCCCATACTCGTTTAAGAATAACATCCGCTAGAGTGTCTTTTTCGTCTGAACCAATTACATTCCGTATACCTACCACCTGCACACAATAATGGGACATTTTAGTGAATGGTTCAATCGCTTTCAGTGATGAAAGTAAAACATGCCTACTATATATGAAGATCACACTGTAGTTATGTACCTAACCACATATTATTAATATTGTCTGATTTTACAAATAAATTTCTTAAAACATGTATTTTGGCGTTGTTAAAAACAATATTAACAATGATATTTAATGAATAAAATGGTGTTTAGAACTGTTCTATGTGCGAAGCACTACAGATACTAAAATAAAATTTAAATTAAAACTGAAGTTGCAGTTTTCATTTTTTTAAATATGTTTCAAATGATGTGTACATTTAAATAAATTTAAATAATCTTATTCTGAAGCTGAGAATCTATAATAGCTAATAGATTCTATGCTAAGATCGAAATAATAACATAAGTATTAAAAGATTCTTATCGAAAGTAAACATTTTTATTTTTTATTTTATACTTGTTTCAAAATAGTAAGTTCATACTCGACATGTAGATCCGTGCAAGGAGTAAAGCATGCAGGGAACATATTTCCATGCGCATATCATTTTAGAGGGTTTCAAAATTTATTAAATATAGAATAACAAATACCTCACTTATCTCACATAATTACTTTTTTATTTATATAAAGTATGTATTCAGCAATTCTGCACTCACAAGCAAAGATGGCATGGTATTCAACATGTTTTCCGTTCAACCATGCCATGATATTTTCGTTTCTCCATGTAGATGTGGGCAATTTTTCTATTCAACGATTATGGTTGTGCATCACGTTTAATGTGAGACAAAATGGATGTAGATAATTTTTACAGAAATACCCCATTATCCATATCTTCATGGTGATATACTGTTCGTTGCAACTTGAAAACATGTAAACCATTATAGCAAAATCCCCGTTCACTTCTAATATATGTAATTATTAGTTCTTTTCCAGAGGATGTACTTAATGTCATAGAAAATCCTTTTAAAAATGCTTTTTATCTATTAAAACTGTCCTTCATTTAATCCATGTTTCTTCAAGATAATAAATTTTTGTTTCTGATCGACGCTACTATAACTTTTTCAAAATATTCTCTTCATCCTACTACAATTTCATTCTTCTCCGAGTTCTTCTCTATTAGCATACTTTATTGATTTTGTTTCAAGTTACAAAAATTTATTTCATATGTAATCAATAGGTAAATTTTTGTCTCCTGAACTTTAATGTTGGAAGTGCTTATTTGAAATAAAATCCATGATATTCCTAGGGATCGCATATTAATTTAGCATCATCGGCAGTTGCCGATTCAATCGCTATGGCCGCAAGACTGCAGATCATATATACTCGTAGAAAGGAATTAAGCACCATCTCTGCGGGTATAGTGGCATGAAAGAGCGTTGGTTTGGGTCAATGTGAGAGATTTATACCAGTCGGCGTCTTTCCACTCCACTAATGTATGACATTTTCCAGATTTCCCTCATTCCCGCACTGAATGGTAAGGGCTTACCACCGTAAGTCGACTTCAACTTCTGGGCTAATCCTTGCGATTAGAATGAAGGGTAGAGATATTATTACTATTATGTTATTATTATTGCCAATTTAAATTTTTATTTTGTCAACGTTGCTTTTTTACACTTTCGCCACATTTTAAACAGTTTTGACTGACACTTGTTAAAAAACTGCACAATTTCATAGCATCACTCACTGACATCCACGTTTCATACTCAAATTTCCTGATGCACACTGTGATATCATCCAGTGTTTTCGATTTATTAAATTCGGTCCTTTCACTAACTCCCGCACATGATTCTATTTTTAACACTTATTTAATATAATAACTGCCTTCTTATTCTGGTGTAAACGATAAATAAATATAGAAATAGGAGTTTGTAACAATAGAATGTTTCAACTGTGCTTGCATAGGCTGAACGTATTATTGGAGCAATATGCGAAATGAATAGCACATTACTATTTCCAGGCAGAGAATACACAAACTATTTTTTTAGATTATAGAGTAGTAAAAATTGTGGTTTGATCATAATATATCACTAAGTGCTTATTATTTTGGAACTGGGGTATAGTCTAGTTCAGTGGTATTCAAACTGTGTTCTGCGGAACCCTGGGGTTCTGTACAACCTCTCTGGGGGTTCCGCTACTCAGTCAAAAATTTTAAATTTTATTATCGATAATTACAAAATTCAAAAAAAAATTATACTCTTAAAACTTTTTATTTTTATAAGTACACGCGTATAAGTTACTATAAGAGCTTTATCTATTTATGCAAGTGCAAGTAAGTCGGCTTTAACTTATAAGCTGGCGCAGTGCTCTTCGCGTTGGTTACGTCGCCTTTCCCTTGATTTTTGACTAGAGATTTATAAGGAATATCCTGAAATTGCTGACCAGGCAATAGATGTATTAATGCCATTTGCAATTACATACCTATGCGAAGTCATTTTCCTCGTACGTAGCGACAAAAGCAAAGTACATATCGCAATGCGCTTAATGCAGAATTTTATATGCGATTGCTACTTACGACAACAGCACTTGATTTTAACATATTATGTAAAAATATTCAAGCACATCCCTGTCTTTGATTATATTTACTCTTTTTTTAATTACTCAAAAAATCCATATATATTAAAAGCTGTAGGTTACTCTCGCTCCCACACTCGGCCGTGAAAAGAGGCGTACGGTGTTATCAAAGGCTTTTCTATGTGAAATCTATCCGGCACACGTAGTTTGCATAAACACAAATGAGTAAGAGTGAGACAACTACAGAACACAGAACTATACAGACTACCGAGACTCATTTGATTTGGACCGATACCGGATTGTGACGTAAGAACCAGCCGTCTTCGTTTAAGACTTCGTTTTAGTGCATAGAGAATTATTTTGAATTTCTATATTTTTTTATAGGAAATCTATTAATTATTAATTTAAAATTTATGTGGCAATTGACTTTTTACGATGAAAGGAATTTAATAAAAAAAATAAAATAAAATTGTGAACTTCCCCATTATGATAGTAATGACATCTAATTTTTGTTGTGTACTTAATATGATACAATGACTGTTTATAAGCAAGTACACTTTTTATTAGCAATTTAGTTTTATCAACCTACAAATAAAAAATGGGAAATTTCTAGAACAAGAAAATTTAGTCTTTGTTATATCACAATACTTAAAAAAAATTAGACATAAAAATTGAAATAAAAAATTATCAAAAACTTATGATAATAAAGAAACTGCTTTAAAGTAGTACTTAAAAAACTGAAATTTTAGGGGTATACTATAAATGGGGAGACCCAAGAGCGCACGTAATTTTAACTCGCCCCTTCCACCCTAGGGGGGGTGAAGGATGTTTTTTTAGACGTACTCTATTTATTTTGAGCTTAAAACTACCCCCGGAAATGCGTTCTTGCAGGTACGTCTAAAAGACCACCCCTCACCCCCTCTGCACCTACTAGGGTGGAAGGGGCGAGTTGAAATTACGTTTGCTTTTATATTTATTTTTGACAGAGATATGCCCAGGGGCCCAAGAACGATGGTCATCGAAAAAATGACAAAGTCCATACGAGGGTGGATTTTGGTTTTTATGCGAATTCGGCAAGAATGCGTAGAATCCGAAACTCGCAAAATAAATAGGGTACATCTAAAAAAAACTACCCCTCACCTCCTCCGCACCCCCTAGGGTGGAAGGGGTGACTTGAAATTATGTGCGCTCTTAGTTCTTCCCATCTATAGTACACCCCTAAAATTTCAGATTTTTATATTCATTTTTGACGGAGATATGCCAGGTACCCAAGAGCTATAGTCCAACTTTAAAATGTAAGGTTAAGTTTGAAATTTGGCTTTGTTGATGAAATGGCGGGAAAATTGATATATATCAGCTATTAACTAACTCACATCACTACTTTAAAGTCTTACTTTAATTTTTACTTAGCGAAATATTTATTTTGTTAATCGTAGTATTTATAAATATATTTAAAAATCTGTAAAAAATGTGTGAAGATTTTTTTTAGGAGTGGAAATTCCTCAAAAAAATCGAAATGTTAGCGAGGTTCCGCAAGTCGTAAAAGTTTGAAGACCACTGACATCGGGATTTGCTCCATGACACATCGAAATATTTAAAGACATCTAGATAAATTTTAATGATTACATTATTAACTACTTCGGATTTGTATTCGTAATTTTTGCATTTATCACAAAAAAAATAGCAAATAACGTTAAAACATTAAATATTAGTGATATTGTTTCTATAATCAGAACGGTTTTATTTGTTTTAATCAATATTGAAAATTACTCACAACTCCTATGTATTTGGACCTCATAGATAAAGTCGACATAACTTTAGATGAATCGCTTTTGACACATTTCGGTCTTTTCTCCAATGTACTAATGCTTAGTGGAGCACTGTGAATATTTAATGGACCCCATTGTAAAACGGACTCCACACCCATCGATAGACCTGAATGATACCACATGTTTGAAGTTGGTATTTGATTAATATACTCTAAGATATGAGAGCAAGTCCACTGTGGTGCCCACTTCATAGCTTCTTTTATGAGACGTTCCGAGTTTGCAGCGAAATCTTTAATAGTGGTCTAAAAATTGTTACATATATTAAATTTTATTTTCCTAAACTACGGCTTTACCTCTCTAGCTTCTAGTGTATCCATCAGTTGGATGGTATAAGGTGTTTGAGGAATTCTTAAAGTAGGTGTTTCATGGTTTGGGTCTATTTGGAGGGAGTAAGAGAGAACTTGTAAAATATCCAGCATTGTCCATAAAACCCTTAAAATCATAACCATATTAAGCTCACGATGACAGAAAAAGCTTCTAAATAAAGTAAATGTCAGTACCTGCGACTCCATAATAAATGTGGAAACTTGTCCACCAAGCTTACAAGAAACTTATCGGACACCCTCCTGATTTGCTTGTGATGATGATTGAAATTAACTAGTAAGAATTGTGCGTGTTCCTCTAAATCCGCTTCTCTAGCCTCATCTTTGGGCTTATTTTTCATAACTTCTAAGAATTTCTCGAAAACCCTTTCGCTGACAGAAGAAACGCAGTTCCACATGCCGGCTTTGTCTTTTTGCAAGGCCGAGTCGCTCAGGTAATCTGAGATTATTGGAACTAGGCTTGGTTCTCCGGAGTGTTCCACTCTGAGAAAAATAAAGATTGGAGAAAATAAAGATTGAAGAAAATCGATTTGAAAAAATAAAAGAAAACCTGAAAAGTTTTCCCTGAAATATAATTATATACTGATTTGCTGTTTTTATCATTAGATTAAAAAGATTAATCTCATATTACTAAAACGAAGTCAAAAAAAAAAAGTTCAGAAGACGAAAACGGACAGATTTTTGAAATTTTTGTAGACTTTGGATAGGCAAAACTATTTTCATAAAAATAACCCTTGATCAATCCTTTTGGCACAAAGGTTTATTTCATTAATTTTAAATTTTTTTCAAAGGTGGCAATATACCCAAAAGATAAATAAAAAAACTAATTGTTGTTATGAAATTTAAATAAAAATTAACTAACTCAAAAATCATTAATTACAAATAAAACAAAACAATGTAGACAAAACTCATTAATTGAAATATTAATCTATTATTATTACCGTACGCGCCTAAAGTATGAAATAAATTCAGTAAAAACAAAACAAATTTTTTTTTGGGAAAAATCCTCGAAAAATAAAAGTCGTTTTTCAACCGTCATTTTTTCTTGATTCTAAAAGATCGTTTCATTGTCAATCCGACAGTATTATTAAAATGTTGCCATCTTACATAAGAAAGTTTTCGAGTAAATGACGATTGAATGTTAGAAAACGTAAATTTTATTCATTAAAAAAATAACAATTCCTATGTCAAGCAAATACAATTCATTAAGTTTTATACCTAAATTAAGTACTCGAATTGCCACCCACCGATTTCTTGACAATACGCAAGTCTGTGTAGAAATTCTTCTTGCACATTATGAATTATTTCTGGGGTAACTCTGTGTATTTCATCTATAATACAATTTTGGAGTTCTTCTAAATTATGCGGTCTATTAATGTACACTTTGGACTTTAAGTAGCCCCGTAAGAAATAGTCCAGGGGTGTAAGATCTGGGGATCTTGCGGGCCATTCTATTGGTCCTCGTCTGCCGATCCACCTCCTAGGAAAACAATTGTCCAGAAAATCTCGAACAAGGCGCGCATAGTGCGGAGGTGCACCGTCTTGCCGAAACCATATGGTGTCATCAGGAACATCAGGGTTATCGTTAGGAAAAATTACTGCAAGCGCTGGAACAAGGTCAATACCTCCAAGTTTTACGGTTCACTGTACCATTGAGACAAAACGTGGCCTTGTCTGAAAAAACTATTTGCCGATATAAATCTCTATTTACTTGACATAAATCCATCATAATTTCACAAAAGTGTAAGTTGCGGTCGGGATCTTTTTGATTGAGTTCCTGCACAAGTTGAATTTTGTAGGGATGATATTTTGCCTTCCTCAGGATACGTAGCACTGTGGTCGGACTACTTTCATTGTTTAATGCAACCAATCGTGAAGTATTATGAGGATTATCTACCATACTTATCAAAATGTTCTGTTTGTGATCTTCACTAACGCTTGGACGTCCAGGTTTTGGAATATCTACAACATTGCCAATTTCTCTAAATTTAGATTCTATCTTACTGACTGTTGATTGGCTGATACGGCGATCTGGATGTTTTTCATTAAATAAATCGCAAACTTCATGCTGCGTTCTAGTCTTATCCCCGCAACCAATAAGAATTAAAATTTCAATTTTTTATGTGACAGTTAAATGTGCCATAATACTTTAAGGATGTTCGATACATCTCTTGCAGGGCAGGCGGTGAGCGAGGGAAGCCTATGCTTATACACGGTAGTTTTGTTGTAGTACCAACCTTACATAAACTGATTCGAGCGAACTAAATATAATAGATACAAATGAAATTTATACAACACATATTAGCTTGCATATATTTTTCGTGTCTAAAGCACGGCAATGAACTTTTTATTTGAATAAGTGTCCATTTATTCATTAAGAGCTTGTAAAATTATGGATGAAATCTGGCAACATTGCCATGGCATAGTGGTAAAAGTTGGGTCAACTGTCATTACTGTCAACTTTGCGCGTATTCCGTAAACATGAATGAACAACCAAGGTACAAAGGAGGTCATTACTTTAATGACTGAAAAGTAATATAAAATGAGTGTAAAACAGAACGTGGATTGATGAGATAAAAGTAAAATGTGCAAACTGAGAATCCATATGATAACTATCAAGAAGTTCAGTGTATGATAGTGAGACTTCGCCTTGTCAAATCGAAGATTATGACAGAACATCTATACTGTCAGTTTTGTAAAGAGATGCTTTCAAAATCTGTTTCAAATTGCTAGTATATTGCATTAGATCACGAAAAATTTATTTAATATTCATTATTACTACATATGTTTTCGACTGGAATAATTTTATGGTCTATAATCGAGCTATTCAAATATAGCGTGTCAGTCGAAGCGTTAAATACAGCGGACAGTGTTGCCGTATTTCATTTCATTGGATCAGATGTTTGATAAAATTTGTCAAAACGTTATATATTCATTCCATTATCTCAATAATTACATTGTAAGTGCACATTATTATTGTTTTAAAATGTTTAGTAATATTTAATTCTTTAATTACAATGTTATTTTCCCGATCCTAACCATTTTTAAAAGCAATATTCACGTTTGATCAAAGTTTTTTCCCCAACTCCCATAAGAGCCTGTGTATAAAAGCATAATTTTTAATACCATTTTTCAAAAAAACTACATTGGCAATCGATCTGATATTTTTACACGAGGCAATTTGCATATTTATTAACAGATTTCAATTGCTTTGAAAACTTTCTTACCATTTTTTTTTCGGTATCAAACCTCCTTAAATTCAACAATAATTTTTATGTCGCTTACAATACTTAGAAAGTCGGTATGACAGTGACACTCTGTAAAGATTTACACCTACGTGATCCATAAAAAACTTCAGGCATTTCGAAAAACTAAATTTGATAACGTTTCTGTTTTATTTTAATTGATTTGGGTTTTCTAACATTCAATCGTCACTTACTCGAAAACTTTCCTATGTAAGATGGCAACATTTTAATAATACTGTCGGATCGACAATGAAACGATCTTTCAGAATCAGAAAAAAATCTATTTAAAAACAATGTCCATGATGTCATTACTCGAAAATAAATGACGGTTGAAAATCACCTTTTATGATATATATTTTTTAAATATGTATTTTTTAAATTAAAAATTGACCTGTTCGAGGATTTTTCTCAAAAGAAATTTGTTTCGTTTTTACTGAATTTATTCCATACTTTAGGCGCGTAGGGTATATTAAAAATATTGTGTTGATGAAAAAAAAATTAAGAAAAAAAGAAACATGAAACAAATTTATAATTACCTTAACGTTTCGACCCAATACACACTCAACAGAAAAGTACATTGTGCAAAGGACAACTTATTAACGTAGGCTGTAATATCGGCTGGATGTTTAAGCAAATCCAAAATTTGTGTTCTTAATTCCTGAAGTTCGTTAACTGATACGCTTTCATTCCTTACCGCGCTCGTATATTGGAGTTCTCTCATCTCTGATCTGCTGGATGTGGGAGATACTAACGCAGGAGATTTAACGGCAATTTCCTTTACGCCTTCGTACCACTCCTGCGGCCATAAACCTGAGGAACGAACCAGTTTTTTATGTTTTTAGTGTCAAAATACCAATTTATGTACCAGAAGTCGAGGCCGTGAATCCCATAATGACACAATACAACCAGAAATCCCTGAATAATTTATGGATACGAGGTTTTGGATTTTTTATTGGAGGCAATCGTCTTAGTAAGACAGCAATAACTGGGATTAAAACACCAAGATTCCCAGCTGAGCTGGAGGCCTTTAATGCACCTAGAAAATTCGATTACGTAAATAAATGTCTATAAAATATCGAAAGTTATTACCCGGTGATTTATCGCTAGCTCTTTTCCCTTCAAGCCCTAACTGTACAAATAGCTCTAACAATCGTCCTAATAGTTCGTTCATTTGTTGTTCTCCTTGGATGTTATCAGCGATATTAGCTAATGCATTGATGACGGCTCTTGAGACATGTCTAAAAGCAACAAAAAATAAATATTTCCATATTTTAATTTTCATATAAGAGGTTAAAACACTTAGAGAACATTTTTATCTTGATTTATTTACCTGTACTGCGTTTTATCATTGGCAGCATTACCGTAAGCGGCACTGCCACTTTCAACGGTAATCATCGTAAACATTTTCATGACAACTTCGTAAACGTGTGGCTCGCACTGTGCTATAATCATACAACCCAGCTGATCAACTATAAGTGTATCCAAAGCAGAGGGCACTCTGCAAAATCTCTGCTGAAAGAACTGAAGAATGGTATCTGTAGTTTTAGGAGTCCCCTTCATGGAGACTGCCACGTGACCCAACATTATGACGATGTTAGTAGAAATTAAAGTTGATTCGCTATAAAAATAATCGGGCAATTTGATAAATAAATTTTAAAAAAATAGTTAACGAGAATACCTATCACTTTTCTCTGCGGTAAAGAGTCGATTTGATACAGAGGCCACAAGAGCTCTAACACAATCAGGATCTAAGGCGTGTGCAGCTCCTAAAGCATGGCAGAGGTTCTCTATAGCTGCGTCTCTTAATTTCTCGAAGGCTGACTGGATAGGTGAGACATTCTTTTTCGGTTCTGCCTTAAGTTCATTCCCATAGGCTAACAAAAAAGTATTCATTCCAGAAGTTACAAAACAATTTTGATTTTATGAAATCATATTTACACAAAAATTTACAATTTAGAAAATGCTTGTTAAAATTTACCAAATTTATACTGGGACTGTGAATTAATTTTGAGGGATTTACAATAGATGGCGTCACTTATGCTATATCGCATCAGACACTTCTCTAACTATACAGGGTGTCCCGAAATTCATGCAACAAAATTTGGTCATAGATCCCTAAGACAAATTTAGGGGACCCGCATTTTTTCTTTTTGCCAACTGGCCTCCTCTTTCGGAATTACAGCCCCCTGAAATCTACCGCTAAGAAGTCTTTTTTATACTCAAAACCATGTATGAGAATCACTAAATTTGGTACATATGGGTTTTATGACTTGGAATCTCACAGTACCTCGCTTTTTGGCGAGAAACCCTCTTAAGATACTTTTTCGTGGGCCCCCTTGTCTTTGGAACCAGAAAAATTTGCTCGCAAATTTGATTTTTTTTTTTAATTATTAGCTAGAAAGCCATTGAATTTAGAAACTTTCGATCACATTTTGACATTTTTCTCGAAAACATTGCATTTTACGAAAAAAGTATAAAGAGACAAAAAGTTTCTAAATTTAATGGCTTCATAGTGGACTGATAATCATTTTTAAGAGATTTAAATATGAGATCAATATTTTTTGGCTCCAAAGACAAGGGGGCCCACGAAAAATTGTTTTAAAGGGGGTTCCTCGCCAAAAAACGTAGCACCTCAGATTCCACATGTCATAAAACCCCTGTGTACCAAATTTAGTGATACTCGTACAAAAGTGTTCTGAGATATAAAGATTATTCTTTGGGGCGGACTTCAAGGGGCTGTAACTCCGAAAGAGAGGGACACTTGGCAAAAATAAAAAATACGGGTGCCCTAAATTTGTCTTAAGAATCTGTGACCAAAATTTGTTGCATGAATTTCGGGACACCCTGTATGTCAAAGCTCAGTCATTAGGCTTTAATGTTTATTATCCGTTATTTTGCTGAAGAGAAAATAACATATTTTTCCTCAGCTCCGAAGATGTCCAATAATGGGCCAACAAAACACCATTTGCAGAAAGTTTTACATATCCTGTTTAATTCAAACAAAAGTTCTGCTAAAAGTCATCGAGCGCTGTTGGAAACACACAGTGGACATACTTCATTGATAAAAATGTGTGAGTATTGGTTTCGACCTTTTTTTGAGGCGCTGACTTCGATACAGTTGACAAAGAACCAAAAAAGTTCGAAGATGAGGAATTGGAAGCATTACTTGATCAAGATTTATGTCAAACGCAAGATGAACTGCCTGAATCGTTGACTGTTGATCGCATAATAGTTTTCGAGAAATATTGAACGGCAATTTTTTAGGTGTGAACAACTGCTTCAAGGCTTTTTTCATCATATTGTCACTGGCGATGAAAAATTGATATGTTATGATAATCCTAAGCCTAGAAAATCGTGGGGTTTGCCTGGTCCTGCATCAACATCGACGGCAAGACTGAATATTCATGGTTCGAAGCTCATGCTCTATATTGGATGGGACCAGCTTGGTGTTGTGTACTATGAGCTGCTTCAACCGAATGAAACCATCACTGGTGAACTCTACTGATACAATTGATGCTTTTGAGCCGTGCATTGAAGGAAAAACGGACACAATTCGAGTAAAACCACAAAAGTTTCTGAAATGGGATGTTTTCCCCCACCCGCCATATTCACCAGATATTGCTCCATCGGATTATTACTTGTTCCGATCCATGGAACACGCTTTGGCTAAGCAGCGCTTCCAATCTTATGAAGATATGAAAAATTGGATCGATTGGTGGATAGCATCAAAAGATGAGTTGTTTTTTTGACATGGAATTCGTATGCTGCCAGAAAGATGGGAAAAAGAAGACGGACAATACTTTGAAAAATAAAATGGTACACAATTTTTCACAATAAAGCCTTGAATTTATAAAAAAATCTCTAAGAATTAATTATTCATAGTCCTAGTAGGTAAAGTAGATTAATTACCTGTAATTTTTATGTTCTCCTTATTTCCTTTGTCGTTCGCTTGTCGATGTAATTTCGATAAAATAGGGGAGGGAGTGATCAGAAAATCTCTTAAGCAATAAATAGATGTGGAAGCAATGTTAGGAAATTTCTGAGCTAGTTTTCCTAAACCTTCCAAACAAACCATCAACAGTGGCATATGTGCCAACACCAATTTGTATCCATGATTAGAATTGATTTTCTCCGTCAGTCTGCCACACAAACTATCAGCACCTGTGATCATTTGCAAAATAAGTAAACAATGTTAAAAAATATTTTTAGATTACTGCCAAAATTCTTTAATCTTTTTTAGTTAAAGATTTGAGTAGCCAAATTGCACTGTAGAATTGTATATTAAAAAAAACATGATTTATAGGTTTGCAAAAGTTCAAGACAATATAAATCAAAAACTATGTTCAGTTTACTTGTTAAATAATTAGCAAAAATGGAAAGTGTTGTTAAAAATGACAACTTGCTATTAATTAATGGGCTTACTTTATTTTACAAATAAAATATATGTTAATACATTACTCTACTAATAAAAAGTACAACAAAAACTGTTAACCACACAATAAAATTAAACCATGAAATAATTACAAAAAGGTCAATATTAGTACTTATAAAACAAAGGAAATCAAAATCTCTCATCATCACCTATCACAATTATTAAAAAGTGAACCAGTGTTGAAAAGTTATACTCTGAATCAACTGCAAGAAATCAAAAATAAAGGCTATTATTAATCAGATTAATATACTGTGTGTCTTTGTTTTTGTGTTTTATATCAACTGTGTGAACATATATGCAACATTTCTAAGTGTTTAAAATTAAAGATGTTCATTCGTTGTTATTAAGCTCAATAATTTTGTCTGTATCGCAATATAAAAATAAATATGTTACTAATACATACCAGTTTCATCTCCAATAGCCCAAACTAGAAGATCAACACATGCTGCGTTTGCCATAACATTAACTTTAAATTTATTTACCAATGCAAAATTACTCTCTCTGTCTTCTTTTTCACTAGCATCATGATTCCTACTTTGTAATTCAGTTTGTCCATTTAGATATAAGCCTGAAATAATAGAATGTATTATCAACACATTATTTTACATAAATTATTAATTTTACCTTTTACAAATTCTTGGACATCCTTTGTAAATGGCACTGGTAGGTTTTTCTGAGGTTGTAGTAACTCCCTCATCAACGTGACCATCACCAGATTTATAGTTTCAGAGAAACTTTTATAGGGAAAAATTAGAATCTTGCCTGTGGAATAAATCTCAACTGATTGCTCGTCTAAGAGATTAAGCATTTCTTTCGTCAACAGTTTCTTACTTAAAGTCAATATAACATGTAAATGCTTTTGAGGAAATATTATTTGAGGTTTTTTATCATTTGGATCGTTAATTCTTAAGTGAGGAAATTGGTTGAAACTTGAACCAAACTTTGAAAAAAAATGTGTCTTTGGAACATAACCCCCTGCATTGTAATAAATCGAAATACCCCTTTTTAGTGAATTGGAGTTATACGCTATATCCGTCGTGTCATATCCTCCCTAAAATTGTATCAGGTGGCCATATTAAAATGTACTGAAGAACTGGCAATATTTTTTGACATATATATAAAAACTAACAAAACCTACCGCTGTGACGGCCAAGATATCTATGGCTGCATGCAAGTTTCCAGATAAACTCCTGGGAATAATATTTCTGAAACTACTAAAGCTTCTTTTGTAAGCATTTTGATCATTTGCAGCTGCTTGGCTGAGGGGGGGCTCTGGTTTTGGGAATAATCTACAAATTAAAGGTGGATCACTTGAACAAAATCTACCCATTGCCCTAGCTAAACCTATAAGTACAGGTAATGTAGTTTTACACAGAAATAATTTTGCAGCACTGTTTCTGTTGTTTGGATCTTGCATTTTTAAAACCTGACCGGTTAATGATATCATGCATTCTACTTGAGTATTGATAATTTCTCTTCTAGAATCTTCACATCGTACTCCAATATCACTAAGAAGAGTGTGCAGGCAGAAACTAAATTTCTCTGCTGTAGGAATACCTAAAAAATTTTCATTAACATTATTCCTAAGTATATCAAATTCGTTATGGCTTCTAAATACTAACGATCTGTAGGATTAAATTTTATTTCATCCTGCCAATGAGCTTTTTCTAGTAACTTTGCTAAACGTAATAAGTAAGGTAAAATTTTCTCTTTATGTTGTAACCCAGATTCCAAGAAATATATTCCCAAAGCAATAACAGCGTCTTGTTGTCGACAATTTATTAGTAGTGTACCATTCTGTACATCTGAAGGACATAGAGAGTACAGAGTTTGAACCTAAATTAAATACAATAATTATTGAAACTGACCAAAGGACAAAGTACTTTAATGAACATAGAAAATAATTTACCTTCTCCCATGGTGTATTTTTTATATTTCCCAGAGATCGTGCCAGGTGCTGAACAGTTTTGTGGAAAAATAATTTATCATCTCGAGTCATTGTTCAAATTTTAACAATATTAAATTTGTTTAATATTTGTTACTATTTTTCTACTGACTTTTCAAAACATTTGATTTCCAACACTTTATCTGTCACTTTTATTTTTAGGTTGAAGTTCACTGGATTCAAAGTCAAATTAGTCACAATCAGTTAATTCCAAAATTGCCATCATTGCATTGCCAACTGCCAAGTCTTCTAAATAATAAGCTATTTTTGGCGAAATTACTTTTTCAAAAAGTACAAATTATGATTTTGACGTTTATAGACCATCACTATCCAGGGGGCAGTACGATCGACGCCTTAAGATGTGGCTAATTACTTATTGAAATATCTATAATTATTGTTTATTACATTATTATAACAATTTAAGCAACGAATTGTCTCTTTTTGAAGTACATTTTCTTAGATTTGATGGCGTCGATCCCGCTGTTCTCTGGTCGCAGACGGACTAACTTCCACCTAACTAATATGAGTGTTTTCGTCTCAGAACGAATATTCTTTATTCCTTTCCTTTCTTTATAGGTACTCCAAAAATTTGAACGTAACAGTAAGGAACACTCTGTAGATATTACAATTACTTCACAAAGAATTTAAAATTCACCTCTCTTTTGGAAAATAATGTAATTTCTTTCCTACTATCCTAGTATTTGTCACCACTGTCACCAGGTGACACTCATAACGTTGAAACTTGGAACCACCAATTACTAACTAGTGTTAGTAATTCTGTAATTCGTATTTATAGTCTTGGGTGTGTCATTTTAATTTAAATTTAATTTAACCTTATCCCACGTTAACCTAAAATGTTGAAGGAAAAATAAAAATATGTTGAAACGAGGGTTTTGTCTTTTCCGTGCTAATTTATTCAGAAATGTCACATCTAAAGAAAATCTTAAAATGAAATCTTGGCAGATTCATTCGTACGGAGACTTAAGTGAAATGCAGCTTAATTCAAGTCGTTTACCAGTCATAAAATCTCCAAAAGAAGTTCTAGTAGAAGTTAAGGCTGCTTCTGTTAATCCAATCGATGTATTAATGCTAGGTAGTAAGAAATTCTAAGTACATTTAATAATATCATTAAACATTAATGCATGTAGGAGGATATGGAAGAACTTTATTTCAAATGCTACGAAATTTTGAGTTAGAATTTCCATTAACGTTGGGAAGAGACTTTTCAGGCACTGTTATTGCTAAAGGGCATGAGGTTGGAAATGAAATCAGCATAGGAGACGAAGTTTATGGTTTTATACCTATTCATAAACAGGGATGTTTTGCTGAAACAGTGATAGCTGAAAAATTCCATGTATGTTTATTGCTTTATGTAGAAAATACATTATTTTCCTTCCCATTTTAGTTGTTACCAAAACCTAAACAACTGAGCCATGTCGAGAGTGCATCTTTATTATATGCCACAATGACAGCTTGGAGTGCTTTGTTTATTTTTGGAAATGTATTTAAACAGATGAAGGGATTAAGGATTTTAGTTATGGGAGCATCAGGAGGTGTAGGATGCTCAGCTGTTCAGTTACTTAAATCGCAAGGCTGCCAGGTGGAGAATTTTTTGAATTATACGAGTTTTAATGAACAACACCTAGTTTCAGAAACAAGTGTATGTAATAAATTTTTTTGTAGGTTTTTGCCACTTGTTCATCAGATGCTGTACCGCTGGTTCAGAGCTTGGGTGCTAACCAGGTGTTTGATTATAAAGATCCAGATTTTACAAAACAAGTAGAACAAGAAGGCAGGTATAGTATTTTTTAAGATACAAACGGTTTGATGTTGATATTTGTAAATCTTTACAGATACCACATTATATTAGATGCAGCTAAAATTGGGTATCAAAACATACCGAAAAGTTGGCAGTACGAAACATACATCACACTAAATTCACCTTTATTGTTAAATACTGACAAACATGGATTTATTTGTGGATCTGCTTCCAGTGTTATCGACCTGTTACAGGCTAACTTATTGCATAAAACTGGAGGTAGTGTAAAGTGGGCATTTTTTGTACCAGACAGAAAGGGACTTAGATTTATTAATGAATTAATAAATGCAGGCAAGGTAAGTGAAATAGGAGTATGATTACAAGTATGTTTAAAGTTGATGAAATGTAATACCTTACAACTATATTCAAACGTAAATATTTTTTGTAGATAAAACCAGTTGTACACAAAACCTTCAAATTTGAAAATTTATCTGATGGAATTAAAGCCGTGTCTGAGGGGCATTTGAGAGGAAAAGTTGTAATTGATTTTAACTAGTACTGAAAATCAATTCTAATGTATATTTTATTGGTTAAATATAAAACATATTTTTTTTCAAAAAAAAGTTGCTTTCTTCTCAGGTAATTGTGATAAAATGATTTCTACTTCTTCAAGAACTTCACTGTCGTTAAAAAGTGTTGCCAGTTTGTAGGCTTCATTTAACCAGTGTTTAGCTACATCGTTAGAACTTAGTTTTATATAAATTTTGCCAAGCTTCAAATAACACCTGGGCAAATCCAAACTGCCTATCCCCTTCCCTAAGAGAATTGCACTTTGAATATTTTGAAGAGCAATATCGTAATCTTCAAGTTGAAAGTTTAAATCTGCGAGGGTATACAAAATCACCATTTCTTGATAAGGGGTAAGTCCTCTAATTTTCATTGAATAATTGTAAGCGGAATCGATGAGCTGCTTTGCTTTGACGTAGTTGGCACTTTTTATTTTATGTAATCCATACCAGAATAAGACATTGACATACAACATACCCGTCTTGGTGGACGTATCACCGTCTAAAATTTTTGCTTCTTGTACTACTAAACATTTCTTAAATCCTATTTCTGCTAACTCATTTTCATCATACGAACTGTAAATTCGTGCTAAACGCAATTTAAAATCTACAATTTGACTGTCGTTTTCTGGTACTCCTAACTGAAGCATCTTCTCTATAATCTGCACTAGTAAGTTTTCTGCTTTCTTTATATTGCCTGTAGCAATCAATATTGATGCTAAAATGTCATATATGTAAGGCATTGCAATGTACGCTTGATACTCATCGCAAATCTTAATCCCCATTTCTAAAATTGCTTCCGCTCTTTCCACATCTCCTCTTTCCAAAGCGATACGAGCTAAAGTCATCAGTTGAGCTATATTTTCTTCGACATCATATTGTGATATTAAAGTAACTATGGCTGGTTTTGGTAAAATTGTACTGCATGGAATGATATAGCCAAGAGGTTTCAAAAATTTCCTAGGTAAAATATGGAAGATTTGTCGTTTGAACTGAAAGAGCCATTTGTATAAAGTTATGTAATTCTTTTTTGAAAGTTCTAGCTCTGTTGATGGTAAAATTCTTACAACTCTATTTAAAAGTGCAAACATTAATTACTGCTAATTTTGATGTGACAGTGACCTAGTCATTTTTAGTGTCTTAATTTTTTAACATGCCAAAATAAATTACTAGTGTCTTTAATCTTATCAACAGTTGTAATGTATTTGACATTTGATAGTCTGATGTGATTTGATTTATAAAATGTTGGTATTAACAGCAAATGCACAGCTTTGCAGATATTAAATAATTTTATTTACTAATACATAAACTTTCTAACATTTTATAATAGCAGTATTTAATATCAAAGTCCATATCGTACCAATAATTCACAGCAATACATTTATGACTTTGGCGGACATGATGAAACCATAAACTAGGTAAATAAAGCATATCTCCTTTACTTACTCTAACATTATAAATGTGTGCCTTTTTAAAATTTGGATACTTGTCCAACGAAGTTTTTCTATCGAGGGGATCTACAGATATCCACATAATATTGTCATTGCCACTTTCAGGTTCGACTTCAAAATTTGTACAGGTTATATTTTTATATTTTCTAACTGGATATTCTTCGTAAGGCACATATGGTAAATCTGTTGGTGGTATTAATATAAAATCTTTATAGCCGTCTATGACACAATATATATTTTCATAAGGATCTTTATGCACTAAAAATTATAATTTACCATTCAGTCATTTAATTGCAATTATTCCATTACGTCAGAATTATTAAGCTTCTGATAAAGCAGCAATATCTGACCATATATTTTAGTATTTAAAGCTTTTTAAAGATATTTAATATATTCATAAAACATTGTACCACTGCCTGAAGCTTAAAACTTCTGCCTTTATTACTTACTACTAGTAACGGCTCTCTCATCACCCATCCAGAAATTCACAGCATCACGTTTTTTATTAAATGCTGTAGAAGCCCAACTTATTTCATTTCCTATATCTGGAAGTAACTCTAAAAGATCTTCCGAGAGATTTGAATTTTGTTTCTGAATATAACAAACATAATTTTTTCTAAAATAAGAAAATTAGTGTGGTAAAAATAGATGTTTAAAATACATACTTCGGTTGCTCGAGGAGTATAAGGAAATCTTTAAATTTCATATTTACTTCTTCAGGCATCACAAAATATTGTTTGTTATTTATAAAATTGAAACCATCAGCATAACCATTAGGTGTTACAGCTACAGTTACTTCTTTTTCAGATATAGTTTTCCTAAAAGAGATTCAATACTGTATTATATATTTTATTTTTTATTTACTGAATGTTTTGCAATGAAAAGTAATAAATTTTCACAAAGCATAGAATTTAATACATATTTACCTACATAAAATATTCCGAGCTCCATTTTTTCACAGCAGGAAAACTATTTCCAGCCCCTTGGATTAAAACAGGACAATTTTTTGAAACATAATCTCTGTAAAATGTTAAAGGCCATGATTCAAAATCTTCTATCCTTACTTTAGGTACTTTTAAGTGACTATGCAAGAGATCTGTTCTAAAACCAATAAATTTTTTAAAATAATTAGTTTTACCCATTTACAGAATTATAATTGTACCAGTTGTCTCATTATATAAGGTAAGTATAGCTAATTCAATCTTGCTTCCCATTTGTCAACAAATCTATTGTTTGTAAAGATATTAACAGTTTACCTGATTAATAACTCATT